ATGGAAGTAGCCAAAGAAAATAAAATTTAGGATATCTGATTAGTTGCTAATATATTTTGTGTCAGAATTGAATAACAAACAGTTTAATAACATGAGCCATGCATTATAAAGTGAATTAAGATTTCAGGATTGGCAGCTATGCTATTTAAAAACTGCTTATCTCCTAATAATTTTCATCTCTCTTCTCATGTTTTAATTGTCCAAATGCTTACATATTAAAATTCCTGTCTAGTGGTCTTATAAGAAAGTTTAAAACTCACAGGTTCTTGCATCTTTGTTTTAGGGCTTTATAATTATTCAAGTACAATGTGCTAAATTCAACTAATACCCGTAAGTTCTTAAAATGACTATTCATATTATTTGAAGAACTTAATTTTAATTATAGTGTACTGATGTATGTTAAAAATTAAGGATTCATGGGGAGCAAATATGCCTTCTTCTGTCATAAAAATTGTACCTTTTATTTCAGTACATTAAAAAAAATAAATTGTGATTCTTTTTGTTAAGATCCAGGAGTTGTCTTTATGGAACAATGTGATAAAATATTTCTAAAAGAAATAAATGAACTAGTCTGTTAGGTTAGTTATTACAATAATGAAAACTTTTAAAAACTTTTTATGGGCATTATTTACTTTAAAAACAAGAATACAAAATACTGTTAGAAATGAGAACAATGCATTTAATTCAAAGATAAGCATTAGGCAACATTGTTGAATTATTTAAATGGGTTTTTACCTTTATTCCAGTATTTGCATATGAATTCTCAATAACAAGAATGAAACTGTGATTAATATTAGTGTACTATTTTTGACTGAGAAGCAAGTTTTTTCCAGTGCTTTGAAATGTATCTTTCTATGGAAAATTATTTGGTAGGTGTTATATTATTATGGGCGGGGGAGGCTCTTTTTTTTCTTTTTAAATGCATTTTACATATTTCTTAGATTTGAAATTTTAATTACCAAAAATGGGTTTTTGGTTTGTGATCTACTTATAATTTAAAGCATTTTTGTAACTTAAGATTATCTGTTTCTTCATTTAAGGAATGGTTTAGAGAAATAATCTCTTTGTATTTGAATGATGTACAAATGAATGATGATGAAGCAAAATTCAGAAATATCTGAAAATTATATGGAGGAGTATTTTATTAAAAGCAGGTTCGGTTAAAAGTGGAGAGAGCACCATACCACTGCTGGCCATTACTGGTATAGTCTCATCACACTAACCGTGTAATTCTATCCCAGTTTTGATGGAGAAGATCCAGGTGACAGATTCATGCGTCTCTCATCCCTCTTCCTTTACCACCAAACCACTCAAGAGAACAGTAACTCCATGCATCACAGATGCTATATGCGTACAAACATCCATGCCTTCTATATGGTTTGAATCTCCGCCCATTGACACAGCAACCAGCACTGCTAACTACTGTATGGACCAGGGCAGCTAATATTAGGAATAATTACAGCTGCAATTTGTATATAGTCTAAAGCAATGATTCCCAACTTTTTTTTAGTGCCATACATAACCCATTTCAATATAAATTCCATGACATAACTCCTTAAGCCTCTCCTGTGTTTTACAGGTTTATGGTGTTTAGGTGTAATGTTACAGGGGTTAAAGATGGAAAGGACTGTAAAAAATCTGTCTAAATTTTAAAATAGTTATGCAGTGTCCATGCAATGACATTAAATTTTAAAAACTTCAAAATTTACCTTACTCTCATGATTTATTCACAGCTACCACAAGTAAATGTACAGGAGGATTTGTTAAGAATGCACACTTCAGGAAGGTGCCTCGTCTATTATTACTCTAATATTACTCAAAAACAATTCAGAAAATACATATAAGTGTAGCAGTGGAAACGTATTCGTAATGTTATTGTGGAACAAGTAAAACCTCTGCCACGAAATTTGGCATTTGATAATCAACCAAAGAGGAAGTAAGATGAAAGTTTTCAGTAATTCCAAGTTAGCAAATATAGCTAACAGATGGAGTGGCTGATTGTAATGGGCGAGCCTGTGTGCGCCCATATTGTGAACTCAAATAGACTGATTCTGAATCACTAGATGTTTGCATAATTGCATCAAAAATTGTATGAGATGGGATATTTGTGGACAAGTCAAAAGAATCAGAAGTGAATGACATGAACACCTGAAATAGAAGTGGTAGTGCTCAATCATGCAGATAGGAATCCACATGTTATCATGTGTGTAATTGCTACAAAACTTCCTGTTTCTCAAAACATCATTTGAAGAATCTCAAACTGTTTGTTGTATCCGTACCATGAGCATCACATAGAACTGCTTCCTGCTGATTATGCATCATGAGTTGCATTTACTGAACATTACTGGCAAAAGTGTGTGACAGAAGCCCATTTTCCGGCTGCTATCTTGTTCACTGACAAGGCATATTTTAGCAGAGAAGGCTGCTATAGTGTGCTCAGCATACATGTATCGGTAGTGTAGCACAACAACAGTTTTCCATTAGTATTTGGGTGAGCATTATTGACAGCCACTTAAAAGACCCATATCTCATTATCTGTGTGAATGAATTGATGCTCTTAGAAGATTTTCTTGGAGGAAGTCTTACTCACATCATTAGATGAGCAAAACATCCAGCAGCTACGGCACAATGTGGTTCCGATATGATGGCATCCCAGCCTAGTTTGCTTGTTCCTTTCGGTAACACTTGAATACAACATTTGGTCAAGGGTGAATTGGTTGTAAGTCGTAGTCATTGGCTCAACCTGACCTGTCTGGATTTCTTTTTCGGGATTTCATGAAAAACCTGCTGTACGAAACACCTGTGGCCAGTGAGGAAGATCTTGTATCTGTGAGACTCCTGGTATATTCCAAAAAGTCATTGATTCTGTGTTGAACCAGTGTCACTCTTGTATTGTAGCTGGAGGCTGTATCTTCTAACACTTAGCGTGATCTCTGAATATTGCAAGTTTCATGATTTGCTGATTAAAATATTCAAATCATATTTTTGTGTTTTCTTCCCAAAGAACTCTTTTTCTCAAAACGGCTTGCAGAAAGGATTTAAAATGGAATCAGAAGAGTTTTTTATGTCTGTACATACTTATGATACTTATGTACGTATCTCATATAACTCAAAAACAAGTAGCCTCGGAATGCTTAAATTTTGTATATAGGACTGCTATATATGTAGTTTTGCACCTCCCTTTTTGGTTGCAATTGGCGGCACAAAAAGTATATAAATATTGTTGCGTTTTTTTTCCCATCTGACACCAGTTGTTATTTTCTTCCTTGACGTACAGGGTTCATGTGGATTTGGAGTGAATACGACGACGCTTGACGGAATATCGAAACATACTTTATTTATCAATATTAATCAGGACAGCTCCAAAACACTTTTACAATCGTCAAAGATTTACTATAGCGACACAGCCTCCAGGTTATCAGGCTATCACAGTATTAGACAGCTTCACTGCAAAGCACCAGAGTACAGCTCCCGACCTGCTCGGTCGTTCTCGAAACTCCACGTACTCTCTAGACTCTCCACGTTACAACTCGCGATGCACTCAATGACACACATAGCACGGCTTTCGACTCTTCGGTTCGGTCGTCACCGGAGCTCAACACGCTCTCTCGACGATGCACTAACCGCGATACTGTAAGAGACTCCTTCGGTGAACTCAACGATCCACCCAGCTCTCTCTGGCCGGCTGTCAACTCGATCGCCTCCGCAGGGATTGACTCGCTATACGAGACACCAACTCAATACTAACTCGAGACACACTGTCGCCCTCTTGACGAGGCACACTAACTAACTGCGGACCAGCAGGGTTTATATAGCTTTCGGCTTGTGTTCGATAACATTCTAGGCTAAACCGGTAAGAATTCGTTCCAGAAGGTTCTCCATCCGTCCAAGGCATGTCGCCAAGTGGGCGATTTCTCGCCAAATGTGGCAACCCTGCCCCTTTTATGCTATTTTATAGCAACCCTAAAACTGCTTTGTGGGGAAACCATCTTACCACACCTGTACATTTTGTAACAATATATATGTATACCCGCTCTGTTACTCGGATTGGTAAGTTCAGTTTTTTTTATTCTTATATGTTGGTAAATTTGTCATCTTTTGCTTTAAGAGTGATTGAATTGTTGTTGTTATGTTCCACTTAGGGTTTTTATGCCTTTAGTTAATCTAGATGCAATAGTTATTGAGTTATCAACAACTTAAAATTTTGTTGAAGCCTAATTCTTTTACCATAGCAGCCGTGCAGCGTCTTTTGCTGAGTGGGACCAAAATTAAACTTTCAGTTTTTTGCACCGAAAAATCTGCCTTCTTGTCAGCTGGCCGAATTGTTTGCTTTTGCTTAAAAACTTTTAATTTTAATTGTTAAAAAAATATCAATTGTTTCAACTGTATTTGGTGTTTTACATTTTTCTATATTTTTCAATTTTTAATAAAAAGATATTTTGAGGTTTTATATATTTTTGCCTTGAAACGAAGTGAAAACTGAATTAATTGAATGAGAAATAAATATATCTCTAACAAATTCGAAGAAGTAAGTTTAAATTAAATAAAGTAAAAAATTTGTATAGTTTAATATTCCGTACAAGGAAGTCATGTGGTGTACACATCAGATTTATTATTATTATTTTTTTGGCAGGTCCCGATAATGAATGTCTAGATTTCGGACTTTGTACTATAATACGAATTTTAATATAGCATTTATGTGTCATTTTCAGGGTTGTAGATAGTGTGACATGTACGTAAAAAGTTTTAAATCTTGAATTATTCACCATTTGAAATGTTGAATGAAATAGTAAAAACCTGTCTGTGAACTTTCGAAACTTTTCTTGCAATAATGGTACTGTTGAAAATAAAAATAAATTGTTAGAAGTTGATTTTTGGTAGCTGAAACATGTAGAAGATATGATAGAAATCTTTTTGTTTCATAAAGTTTTTCAATGAAAAGATGTTATTCTGCTTATATTTAAAGTTACCTGAGTTGATATGTATCATCTCAATTTCAGGACGATCCGAAGTTTTTATCAGAATTATTTGCTCAGTTAACTGATGAAGCCACTGAAGATCAGAAGAGAAAAGAACTGATAATGTTTCTCAAAGAATATTGCATGTTTTCTCAAACCTTACAGCCCCAAAGCAGAGAATCCTTCTTCAAGGTAAAAAAGTGTCCTAAATATAAATATTATTTATTTATTTAGGAAAACCTGTGGTAACCTTATTGTTCTTATTTCATTTAATAGAAGAATTCATTAAATGCGTATCATTAAAAGCAAGGAGTTGTTATTTTTATTTTTGTTTACTTTTTATTGCTTATCATTTAAAGCAGTGATTATGATAGTAAAAAAAAAAAAAAAAAAAAATTAAAGGAACGAAATGCTTCTTTCAGCAACGGGGTGGATTTATTGACCAATGATTATTTTATTGGTTAGTAAACATTTCAGACATTACAATAAGCGACTTGGTGAATGTCCACATGTTCCAGATTTTTGTCTTTCACAGTAACATGTTCTTAACCCCCATGTAGAAATGCTAAATTTTAATGTTTCTCCTTCGTTCTTTCTTTCCTCCTCCCCCCCTTTTTTTTGAGAAAAATATTTTGGCATTTTGCTTGCCATTTTCAGCATTTTGTTTAACCAGAACTACTGATTTTAACGAATGGGGTTAACACATCTAGTGGCTGTAAGAAGCTTCTGAGTTTCTTCCCACATCACTTCAAATGAGAGGTTTCTAGACAAAGCATTTTCATTTAATGATGAATTGCAGGTTCATAGTCAGGACATTATATGCTGCTTACGAAAATATGTCACTCACTACATGTGTTGTGTCTCATGTGAGAGGAGGTACAGAATATACTTCTGGAAGATCTTTTCAGAAGTCATCTGATCATTCCCAGAAATTTTTCTTTTGATGTGCAGTTAACCTGGGAACGCGCGCACTCTTTTGAGTTACACGAGCGCGCGCACTGGGTCCAAAAGACCCAGCTTGTGTTTTTTGAAGAAAAAACTGTTACTTTTTAGGTAAAACTGTTACATTTATACCAAAATATTATGATCAAACTTTAAAAATATGAAAATTAAAAGTTTAATTTCTATAATATTTTTTATGAAATAAAAATTTTAAAGGAATAGAAAAACGTATTATATTATTAAAGAATTTATTAGAAATTCATTATATTATTATTCAGCCTATTCATAAATTATTGTTCAGGTTTATTAGAAATGTACTGCTTGAAATAATATCTTCCTGTGAAAGCTTCAAGTTTTTCATCAATTGTTATGAGTTCATCGACAGTGTAATATTTCTGGCAGTTATTCACAGACTCTTCAAAAAACTCTCTGATAGGTGCAAGTTTAGATTCTTTCTTGACGATGTGAGTTCCTATGTCATCAAAACACAAACATCTTAATAAGAAAAGAAAACGTTTGTAGGACATAATTTTGTAGAAAATTTCCAAGCCGGTTCCGTCTGTTACCTATAGATCCCGCACATTTACATGAGATGACTTATGTCACAAAAATATAAAAGACCTATAAAAGTGCCAATTTCAATTAAAATTGTGTGACGAGCATCTCTCTCTCTTTGAAAGCTGTCAGAAATCTCTACATATAATAAAATAGAGAGTCTGTCTGTGTGTGTGTCTTTCGTTTTCGCTGCACGTAAGCTAATAGACCCACGGCTACGAAATTTGGTACATAGGTGCATCTAGACAAGAGCCAGTGCACCTCGAAGCGATTTTTTCGAAATTTGAATTCGAATTTTTTTTTATTTTATGTTTTGTGACGAAATCACATCATTTTGAGACATAATGGGCTATAGGAAGCAAAATTTTACTCTACACACTCCATTTCACATCGTCATTAAACTAGGCACTTGGCTATTTTACGAACTTAAATAAATTTTGTGCTTCAATAAATCGATTAAATACGAATTTATTTAACAAAGTGAGCTTAACACCTTTTTTCAAACGGGATTTTTTAAAAACGTTTATTTTTAAAAATGTACAGTTTATTTTTCTTTGATTTTTGGACACGTTAAACTTTCATCACATCCTTGCTTACTACTGCTTTTAAAAAAAGATTTTGGAAAAATGATAATTTTTTTTGTATTTTTAAAAAATTTTTAATGAAGCTTCCGAGTACACTTCTCGCATCTCACATCTTTAAAATGTGATTTTGGCAACAATTTTCCTGTCTTATTGTTGTTGATAGATTTTTGATGAAATCGCATCATTTTGAATAGTTTCATTCTTTTAGAAATATGGGTTTGGCAAACAATGTTTCATCCTATTTCTTATGTCACTGTTTTTAAGAGATTAGCATATTTCATTGTCATTTTTAATACATTTTTATTGATTTATTTTTTGATAAAGTTGTTCTGCAGAGTAAAATTCTGCACGTAGTTTTTTGTTTTTTGAGTTTTTTCATGATTTTTTTTCTTCAAAGGAAAGTTGGTTAATTTTTTATTAGGATAATTAATATTTGTATTAAGGGATAGCTTATTTTTCATTGTATATTTTCTCTTGAAAATATAAGATAAAATATCATTAATTATACTTTGCTTTTCAATTTTTTGTTTTCTTTTTTGTTATTTATTGCTCATTCACTGTTTTTAAGATATTGAAAAGTTTTGAGTGATTTTTTAAGGAAACAAAGTTCTTAACCTCCTTTATACCATTTGAGTTCTTAAGATTTTGCAAAGGGAAGTGGATTAATTTATTTATTAGGATAATTAATATTTGTATTAAGGGATATTGCTTACTTCATTGTAATTTTGTTATATGTAATAACTTTTTTTTATGAAGTTGTTCTTCAGAGTAAAATTCTACGCAGTTTTTAAATTTAACGTTTGGTGTTTCCTTTAGCCATTTTTCCGGTACATTTAAAAGCCAGACGAAGGCTGGCAGCGAAGCTGCTAGTAGATGCAATATAAATATTTGTATGCCTGACGACTTTCAGCAACATTTGTTCATTTAGTAAAAGTTCCCACGATTCATTTGGAGTCTGCACATATTTTGCCTTACCGATGTTCCCAGGCAATTTAGTAGTAATATTATGAGTAGGAGTTATCAGCTTTAGGCTTTTCTTTTGATAATTGGGTTAGTTTTTGTCTTTTTTGATAAAGCAATAAATGTCATTCTCATTTTCGTTCTCAGAATGCATCTCGATTTCTGAATCAGTATCATGAGAACTAAAAAAGTCATTATAACTTTCATTATCTGTTTCTTCAATGGAGTCTTCAACAGTTCATACATCTAATAATTTTGCAAAAGTAACATTTCTTCCTTATAGGATAAATTACGCGACATATTTGCAGCTTTCTGTGCTACCACAAATGAACTACATTACAGAATGTAAATAGGCGCGCTGTATCTGAAAGATCCGATCCTGTCAAAACAAAACTTTGAATCAAATTTCACCGATCCTGTCAAAACAAAACTTCGAATCAAATTTCAGGCGAAAAACTTTGGAAACATAAAGACGATGACCTTGGAGGAGACTACACTGAACCACAACCGCTTGGGGAAAATAGGGACGTTTTTAGAAACGTTTCTTTATTCGTGCGCACTCGCGGGTTAAAGAAAGTTAATAAATCTGATAACTGTTTTATCCTTCATAATTGTAAATAATGTTAATTGCTTGTTCTTCCATGTTTTGTAAAGTGTTTCAAGCTTACGTGAAGCGTATTAAATGCTGTAGTAATGAGAAATAATGTTATGCATATATAGATATAATATAATAATGTATATATCTTTCCTTTGCAGACATTATCTTCTTTAGGCGTATTGCAGGCTTTAGAAATAACTTTGGTAAGATATTTTTTTTAAATTCATAATTCTGAATTATCTGAACGTGTTTTTGCTTGTTAATAAGTGGTTTAATTGCTTTTTGAAATAATTGTTGCAGAGTATGGATGATCCAGCCATTAAAGCAGCCTCTACAGATATCTTATCGTATATTGTTGAATTTAATCCGTCCATGGTTCGGGAATATGCTTTACAGCAAGTAAACAAACAAGATGATGTTAGTGTTTGCTTTATACATATTAAATTTAAATTCAATGAAAAAAACTGTGAACATAATATGTATATTGAAGTAATACTGCTTATTCAATTTCTTACTTTATTTTACTCATATAAATATATATTCATTGCATTGTTTTCTTTTCAGGATCAGCTGCTGGTTAATATTATTATTGAACAGATGATTTGTGATCCGGACCCTGGTATACTTGCTTATTAAATATATAACACTGGTCATCAAAATTAAAGGATAAGGACAGAAATAAAATATAACTGGATACTTAATGAAAAATTATTAATAGAAATTTATGCGAAAGCATTAAACATAAACTGCAATGTTTGGCAGTTGATATTGACAAAATATTAAAATTAAAATCAAATTTATGGAAATTGTAAAATGGTGGAAAAATTAAGTCACCTGTTATAGAAATTTTTTTTTCATTATTATGGTGTATGGTCACCTCAGACAGATATGAATACATCACATTTTAATTTCATAGACTTGAAGCCACAAAATAATCATGAGAGATTTGGTTCTTTCCTCTCATTTCTTGATTTCATAGACCAAAGTGTAGATCAAGTTTTGTGGAACTGTACACCTCTGTTCTAAAAGTGCACTTTCCAGCTCGTAGAGGGTACAGGGTGGAATTTGGCACCGTAAGGCATCCCAGACATGCGTAGTCTGGTGAATAAAGTGGCCAATCTGTTCTAGTGATATCCTCTGTTTGCAAGTATTCTGACATAGCATATGCTCAATGGGGTGAGACATTGTGTTCCATTAGCAAAACCTCTGGGCCAACAGCACCCATAAACAGTGTAACTTGGTGTTCCATTACCACATACCCCCGATCATTTATGGAAAGATAAACAGCTCAATACAGCCATTTGCCACGATTCCTTCCCCAAATCATTAAATGGTGGTGGGTATTTCACAAACTAGGGAAGGCAAGTTGCATGTTATTTCCTGTCTTCAGATCAAAATGCATCTAGTAGAATTACTGTTCTGACTGTATATGAATGGGCCAGTAAACAATACTTTGACTCGGTCGTCTTGGCTCCATTGGACATTGCAAAGGCACTAGTTGAAATGGGCCTCTCTAGAAACTGGTTTGAGTGAGACATAAACCATTGGTTATCTCACACACAGTGCAACCTCGTTAAGCCTTTATGCAATGGTAGAATGGCTAATTCGAGTTCCTATAGCACCCTTAAGGTCTAAAACCAAATCTCTTGTGATTGGTTCGTGGTTTCTTCCGAGCCAACAACGACAGAAAACATTCTTCTGATGCAGTTTTTGCTCTTGGTTGCCTTTAACTAAGTTGTGTGTCAACTGCTTCAGTGCTTAGGAAGCAGCTTCAAACTCTTGGTGTGATACTTTGAGGGATATTCAGATTTTGGGCGACCTTCAATTGTATTTGACCTCTTTCAATTCTCCACTTATTTGCTGCTTTTGACCTTCACTTAAATGGTGCCTTTGAGCCATCACTATAAAATACTGATCACTCTTAAAAACCACATTCACTGTAAACAACACTACAGACTGGAATTCCAACATGCATCCATTGCGCAGTACATTGTCGATCACCAAATTTGCATATTTTATATTTGCATACCAAATTTGCACTAACGCAGGCATGGAAGTGCAATTTCATGTTCAATTGTATTTAATTTAACATAAATAATTACAGCATTGAATGTTGGTTGCAACAGTAACTTAGCATATTTTTTCTCATTATTCTTTTTAAATTTTGATGACCAGAGTATTTATTACTTTTGCACTTTAAAGTACCTAAAAACTGTGTTTTTGACTTATATCATTACAAATTTCCAAAACAAGAATTAATATGCATGCATAGTTTACTGATGTTATAAAGTACGTAGGCCAGTCAGAAAGTTTGTTGCACTACTGCGTAAATATGTTTTATCTAAGACTATTTGGATGACACTGTGTGGCAACACTTCAGACATGTACCTTTCTCGCATGACGTAGCGGCTTTTCCGAGGCAGGTTTAGATTTTTTGATAATCAGTTGCAGACATGTCTCGACAGCTGCAAATAGCATCCAAATTGGAAATGCGTGCAGTGATTCGGTTTTTGTGGGCAGAAAGGTGCAACTGCACTGAAATGTATGGGCAGTTGCATGAATTGTATGGTGAAAATGCAATGTCACGTCAAGCTGTCATGAAATGGTACAACTTGTTCGAGAATGGACGTACAGACATTGACGACGTTGAGCGTGATGGAAGACCATCAACTGCAACAAATTTGGAAATCGCTGCTCACGTGAATGAATGCATTCTTGCAAACAGACGCATACCGGTAGACAAAATCTCAAATGAACTGGATATTTCTCATGGAAGTGTGCATAAAATTATTGCCTATCACCTTAAATTTCGTAAAGTTTGTGCTCGATGGGTCCCGTGTCTATTGACGGAGGAACATAAAGCGTTTTCAAAGTACATATGCATTTCTGCCTGCAACGTTACCAAACGGAAGGAAATGAGTTTTGGGACGAAATTGTGACTGGAAATGAAACTTGGATTCACTACTTCTCACCTGAAACGAAATGCAGCTCACTCAAGTGGAAATATTGCAGTTTCCCGACACGAACAAAGTGTAGAACATCATCATTACCTTTTCTGTTCCATCTGCAGGAAAGTTGATGATGACACTGTTTTTCGACAGAGAAGGCATGATGCACAGAGTTCATGCTGAAGGGTGCCACAATTGATGCATCTTCTTATTGTGAAACACTAAAACGATTACGACAATCACTTAAAAATCGACGGCCAGGTAAACTGTCAAACGGCATTGTGCTCCTGCATGACAATGCAAGACTGCATGCAGCAAAACAAACATGTGACCTTTTGAAAAAAGTTTAGGTGGGAAGTGTGGAATCACCCTCCTTTATAGCCCAGACCTTTCATCTCCTGACTTCCATATGTTTGGTCCCATGAAACAAGAACATTCAAATCGACGGTACCATTTGGATGCCGAAATGAAAGCTGCAGCCCCAACAATGATTATATCAGACATTGGACGGGATTTCTTTGCAGAAGCCATCGAAAAACTTGTACCATGCCTCAACAAATGCTTAAATAACAGAGGTAATTTAAGTTGAAAAGTAGATTTTGAATGGAACTTTAAGATATAAATAAAGTTATTGTAAAATTTTGCTCCTGTTTTGTTTTCTTAGGCAGTGCAACTAACCTTTTGACTAACCCTCGTATTAAAAAATTGATGTGTCTTTTTATGAAGCCCTTATTTAAATGGTGTTTGTAAATAAAACACAAATGTTTGCCAAATAGCCCTCAGTCTTAACAATGATAATCTGCTTGTCACACCAAAAACTCTGAGTAAGTTTCCTACTTTGTTGCAGCCCATTAACAGTAGGATAATAGGTTTAAAATTGCAAATTAACAGCTTGCTTGGTGAAAGTGTTTGTGTCAAGAAAATGCATTTTTTTTCTATCAAAGTAGGTATGGAATTACGGCAGCCACAAACTGTATGTGAGAAATAAATTCTTAAATAAAATTTGTAGTGATCTTGCCTTTAAAAACAAGGCATGGTCAAACACTTAACATGAACAAAATTTGGTCCTCGCAACTATGTATATGATCTTAAAAGAGGTTTTACTGATTAATACAAATTTTGATTAGCACAAATTATGAACTGGTTTCATTTTAGGGCAGCTTTCAGAAGTTTTCCATCCTGTTTAAATGAAAACCTCACAGAATACATTATTCTTTAAAACACAGCAGCATCAACAAATGCAGTTCTTTGTTCAGATGTGCTTTTATATTCTTTAAAAGTAAGCTAGTACAACTAGTGTTAAATCTTGAATAATTCTGTATTAATTGGGTAAAATTACTTACTTGTCTTCTCCTTCCAATTGTCACCAGAGTGAGTTAGTATATTCTCTTCTTCCTGAAACTCTGTGGGACGCAGCTTACTAATTGAATAATTGCAGTTTAAATTCCAGTCTGATCGGTAGTTTAACTGGTAGCTTTCAGGATGCAACAACTAACGTTAATTCCAAGCATCTTACTGAGTGATTCAGAGCCAAGAGGAATAAAACAGACATAGATTTGCAAACAAAACTAAAAATGTAAAGGAAGTAGACCTTCGTCTGTTGAATGGTATGGAATTGCCAAATCTACCTTATTCTCAATACTTAAAAGATTGCAAAAACATTCTTAATACTACTACATTGTGAAAAAATTCTTAATGCTACTGCATCGGCTTCCAGGAACAAACCTAAACAATTTTGCAGTAGGAAGATGTCAAAACTGAACTTCTAGAACAGTTCAGTCATGTGCATGCTTCCAGTGTACCTTTAAATGGACCTATTCAGTCAAAAGTGAACGAAATTGCAAAAAATTTAGATATTCAAGATTTCAGTTGTTCTACATATTGTCACTATTACTTCCAAAAGAGATACATGATTGCATCATTATTGATTTCTGGAGTAACAAATAAAGCTGATGAAGAAGGAGCGAACAACTGGTTGTGCAAATTTGACCAAGTGAGAGAAAAGTATGCCTCTTGTGATGTTTAGAATATGGACAAAATTGGACTTTGAATAAGAGGTAAGAAGCACCATGCTGGATCATGCAGCAAACAACGTTTAACTGTTGCCTTATGTATAATGTGCAGACAATAGTGATAAACACCATTCTATCGATAAATCTGAGAAACTATTTTATTTTAAAAAGCTTAAATAGTACTCTACCATAATGGTAAATTTTGTAAATGGCTTGGTTGTTTTAATAGTCGAAGGATGGCTCAGAGTATGTATGTGCTTATGACATTGAGCAGGTGTGCAGCCTATAACTTATGTGATCTGAACTAAGGAGTTCACTTTTCCCCTAAAATTCAATAAGTCATCTTCCTATGGATCATGGGAATTACGAAGAGGTCTTATTGCAAGCAACTTGTGGAAGCTGCAGTTTGTGCCGTGGGCATTTCCATTTGCAACAGCACAATATAGAGGAATATTTCACTAGAAAATGATGTGCGAGTGCATTTTTTCCAGATATAATACAGTAATTAATGTAGTACTGTAGTTCCTATGATCACATGCATAATATATTGTAGTAACTATTTACTGTAAATGATTAATGTGTAAGAAAAAAAAAAAAAAACTATTCCAAAAATAAAATCTGACTCTCCATTCAACATGAATGTTTTCAGTCCCTTGAGATTCATGTTAACAAAGATTTATTGTATTACAAATGTGCAAGTACACAAACTGTATATCGAAATTATCTTCATTGTTAGGAATAATTACCATTCAATTAAGAAAACGTTTTAAGAATTTCATAAAATTTTAAAGTAGTTATGTATTAACTATGTTAATGTATGTCATTTGCATGTTTAATTATGTATAAGAATGAAACTTCAAACTTGCATACATTCAGCCTATAATAATACTGAACATAAAGGAGTATTAAAATACTAATAATAAAGTCTGAGTACAGATAAGCATTGGCGGACATTAGGAATCCTGTGGTTATTTAGTGAAGTTACACATTTCATAATTGTCATTGAATTATTATGGTCATTATAATCTTTAAATTATTGTGTCATCAAGTATTCATAAAAGAATGTGGTCTTTGATATTAGTCTATATCTTTTAAGGATCATTCGTACCTTGGCATAAGCAAAAAGCCTTTACTACGTCAGCAAAATTAGTGTATGATTTTTTTAAAATTATTATTATTATTATTAAGGAATCTAAGCCCAAGCTTAAGTCTAGTACTAATATAAGGAAGGAAAAACCGTTCAATCATGTCAGAGTAGATATATTTTTCAGTATCTGAAAAGCACTATTATTCTTAGGTAATGAAAATGTATAACATTTTTTAAATTATTGTGTCATCAAGTATTCATAAAAGAATGTGGTCTTTGATATTAGTCTATATCTTTTAAGGATCATTCGTACCTTGGCATAAGCAAAAAGCCTTTACTACGTCAGCAAAATTAGTGTATGATTTTTTTAAAATTATTATTATTATTATTAAGGAATCTAAGCCCAAGCTTAAGTCTAGTACTAATATAAGGAAGGAAAAACCGTTCAATCATGTCAGAGTAGATATATTTTTCAGTATCTGAAAAGCACTATTATTCTTAGGTAATGAAAATGTATAACATTTTTTAAATTATTGTGTCATCAAGTATTCATAAAAGAATGTGGTCTTTGATATTAGTCTATATCTTTTAAGGATCATTCGTACCTTGGCATAAGCAAAAAGCCTTTACTACGTCAGCAAAATTAGTGTATGATTTTTTTAAAATTATTATTATTATTATTAAGGAATCTAAGCCCAAGCTTAAGTCTAGTACTAATATAAGGAAGGAAAAACCGTTCAATCATGTCAGAGTAGATATATTTTTCAGTATCTGAAAAGCACTATTATTCTTAGGTAATGAAAATGTATAACATTTGTTGCTGGTTGATCTTTTGTTTTTATGTGTTGAAAATTTCCACCTGCCTGTTTAGCTATCATGTTAATGCATTTTTTACTACTATCACTGAAAGTAAAAGATCAGAAGTTGAGAATCAGCCAATGAAGAACACTCCACAGATTGGAATTGGGCAAAATTTTAGGCGGAATCAAAGACTATATTTATTCTAATAAAATATCATCATGTTCATTGGATGGTAGTTTTGATGAAACAATCAAAGAACTAGTAATTTAATCATTTAAAGTTACATACCTTAATGTGATTTAAATTATATTAAAAAAGTGTAATTGGATGTAGAAAGGGAAAAAATGTAATTTAATTATATGAGAAGTTTGTAACATAGTGTCTAAATTAATTAAGCAGCAAAAAATTGTACCCTCTACTAAATGCTGTTGTGTTAGGTGCAGTAAAGTTCCAGGAAAAAAGGTGGGGAGTTGTAGAAAGATTTTGAGAAAATATTTTCAGTTGCATGTAAAATTATGTACATGCTATATGCATTTTGTGTATATCTGTGTATTTGAAAAATTCTTAGAGTAGGAAAAAAAAATAATAATAATATAATTTTATGTTATTTCTCTTTCAGAAATGGGAGGAGCTGTACATCTGTCTGGTATTATAAAAATTTTACTAGATCCTGAAAACATGTTGGCCACAGTGAATGTAAGTTTGATTAAAAAATTCTTATTATTAATAAGAATTGATGTGAATTAATAAGAATTAATTGTGAATTGATGTAGCCGACCTTAATTTAAATGTGCTATATGCAAAGAATTTTAAGCACCAGCTAAGAAATTTTCTTAGATGTGTAATTAGAAGTGCGTCCTTTCGGCGTTTGGGGGGTGCAGAGTTCAAATTTTGGCATTGGTGATGCATATGTGTAAGCAGTTGGTTCAAGGAAATCAAACAAGTGACAGCCTGGTAGTGAGTTGTGAAATGTTACTTTAGCATGGAATTGCATGACAGTGATGGACCATGCTCCTTCATCTCAACAGTTTGCACATTGATATTTCGAGTATGTCTGTATTTATCGTGTTCCTTGTTCATGTGCATCCTAGGCACTGTATCATAAACAGTTGCAATGATGGGTCTTTTCCGCAGATGTATTAATGTCCTAGTAAATTGGCCACTTGATTGCCAGCAAAAAGGAAAGAAAGATGATAAATTTTTTGGAGCATTGCTCTAGGTATGCCTTTGCTGGTCAGTTTGCTGGCATCTGCTGTACCGCAAATTATGTCTATACATTTCTTTGCACAGTAATTCCCAGTAGAGCTGTGCCTATCAATGTGTTGCAGAAACGTCAAGACTTCTCGGTATGTCAAATACTGCTTCTTCTTTGGCTTGCGCATTCACCTGATACGTCATCTACTGACATATCTAAAATTCTGTGGAGCGGCAGTTTGCTCATGACACTTGTACACCCATGTAAATCGAGTTTGGGCTTAACTTTTTCCGGCACGCTACCTTTTAAAGTCGGAGTTTTGATTTAAAAAAAAAAAAAAAGTAGGCAGTATAATTAGGCCTAGAGGAGGTACACACCCACAGAATTTTGTGAAACGATAAGCTGCTTATCGTTCACAAAATTGAATCATCTGTGGAAAATGTGCCCAAAGTGTGGCAGCACTGATTGAATAGAGCAGCTTTGAAAAGAGTGCTGAACTGAGCATTGTTGTTAATGAACTGACTGATGAAATGCGGAGAAACAAAGAATACAGGCTCTCAGTTGTCCTAGATTATCGGTGAGCCCGGTCTGGGCACACCTAGGGTTTACCGTTTAATTTTAGATTAAAAAAATTAATTTTAAAGCTAAAAATCTAAAACTAATATAGAATAAGGAGATTAGCATACAGCCAAAAAAAAATAATATAGAAATTTCTTTTCAAACAATTCCTTTTATACCCTAAAAAAAATCTGGAAGATTTCTCTGAAAAATGAGGGTCTTAAAAAACTAAACATGGCTAAAATATATGGACTGGTTTGTGTTGAGCTGCCATCTACTATAAATAAAAAAGGTTCAGAGTAACCTATAAATACTTTTTCATTCAATTTTTCTGTGCGTACAGAAGGAAATTTTTAGGTGTGTCCAGACCGGACACACTGTGCCGCAAAGGGTTAAGCAAGTACACTGGGCAAAAAGAAGGGGGGACAGCTCTATATCTCTCGTTCTGCTGGGCTGATAGACAAAATTCAAATTGGGTTTCCCATGTACCAAAAGCATGACTTAGAATATATATTATATTTATATATAGCCAGCGTTCGTAGCAGTCCTTATAAGTGCTTATAAGTCCTTATATTTGAAAATAAATTATAAAAGCCCTTATAGGTGCTTACTTTTTCTCTAAATCTCTCTTTTTTTTTTTTTTTTTTTTTTTTCCCTTGCATCAAAGCCGCAACTAAATAAACAACTTTTTCTTTCTTATCTGAAGCGTCAGATTGTGAATCATACATCCGGAAATGGCTTTCTCCACATTAATTTAATATTTAATCTTTAACCTTTGATTCACGTGAGTAGAATAGACGTTCCAAATCCCACGTGGTCAGTTTATATTCGTGTTTATTACGATCGTTATGCTTATATTATAAGTATAGATATGAATATTTATAATACCGGGTGGCCATAATTAAACTTACAGTGCTCAAAGTGTTCTGTAACGCGATCTATTTGCGAGAATGACGCCACATTTTGTAGGAAGGTTAAACAAGGTGGGGAGGACGAAGGATTCCGTGAAAAAAAAAATTAGTTTCAAAAGTCACCGCTAGGGGAATATTTGGCGCTGTGTAATAGAAAATAGAGTGTTAACAAATGCAAATTAATACGGAATAAAATTACCTTTTATTATGGATATGCCTTACAGTACGATATGGAAAATCTTAAGAAAGATTATCAACTTCTAAGTAAACTTTTTTCTATTTAATTATTATTAATTCTTGGTTGAAAATAAAAAATTTAAATCTCCCATGGACCGCTGATTTATTTATTTATTTTTTAATTTTCATTTTCTGCTTTTGAAAAACTTTTGTCATATATTCATTTACTATATTCCTACCTCTTCCTATTATTTCTGCGTTTCATGTGCTTCAAAATTGGGAATTTTGGGTGTACATTTTCAATTTTTTTTAGGGTTCGTAAGCTTCCAGATCCTTCCCTTTCTGTGAAAAATCTCGAATATTTAAACTGTCACAGTTCGCAGCAATGGACTGGTTATTGTTTATTTATTTATTTATTATTGTTATTATTTTGTCACTTTCTGATATGGATTGAATAGAGCAAAACATTCTGCAGTAGTTTTACTGTGCTTGCTAAGCAGCAGACTCAGTTTTGTTGGGCCTTTTTTTTGTTTATAAATACATTTTTACAATCTGTATGTTTACGGTGATAATTGGGCTACAGATCATTTTTTTTTTAAATCAAGAGCAGCATTTGTTATCTACTGTATGTTAAATTAAACTGTTATTTGCAATTAAAAAGTAATTGTAATTGTTTCCCATGGTTGAGTAATGCTGATTGTCTCTTTGAATACTGAATTTCTCGAATTTTGAATTACGGTTAAATCTCATTTTTATTTTAAGTTTATGCAGTTGTGTATATATGTAATTAATGCAATTAAACAGGTGCTTATTTTTTTTCTTAAAATGTGCTTGAAAAGTGCTTATAGGTGCTTATTTTTTTAACTAAAATGTGGCTATGAACCCTGATAGCATTGTTTTTACATAATTATTTTGATACAAAATCGGACTTTTTCTAAAATAACTACCCAATTTTTTCCATATTTCGATTCTACGATTCAAATTATGCCTAAATATGAAATTTTGTAAAATTTGGTGCAAAATTTACAGAGAAATTCACAAATTTATGTTGTGTCTTTTTTTTTTTTTCAGTTTGCACCAAGAGTAATTTCCTTGGTTATATGGCTGCCCATTTTCCTTTTTCTTCCATTGTGAAGGACTGGAAAAAAGTCACATCGGTCCTACCTTTTTACATTGTGCCTGAGCGTAAAAAAAGCCACGTCGATCTCCTTCCAAATAATTTTAACAAAGTGTCTCATGCGTCAATATACAAATTTACTTATGTATTTGGAAATTTTGAGTATAAAATTAAATTTTTTTGCAGAAATATGTCTATTTTAAGATGATGATTAAAATTTTATAGATTATAATTCAAAATTTTTTCCAAAAAATTTATAAAAATTATTTAAAAATACAAAATTTAAAATAAATCATAAAGAATGGGCAAATTTTATTTTGGATAAACCTAAACTTCAAAATGTGAAAGGAAAAAATCAAATAAGTTTAATAAAAAAAAGAGATATTAATAAATATATACCAAATTCAATTAGCATTGGGGAGCTAATATTTTAAAAACTACTCATGATTTTTACAAAACTTAGGAGCTTGGCATAATTTGTGTGGTAGAATTGAAATGTGGAAAACAATTGGCATGTTATTTCAGAAAAGGTTTGATTTTTTCTCAAAATACCTATAATAAAATGATGCTATATATAAATCTAATACTTATCCTAAGTCGCTTTTGAGACATGAAGAACACAAGTTGAATTTCGTCAATCGTCCCAGTAGAAAGGGCGATATAGAACTGTCTCCCTTTTTTGGTGAAGTGTTTCAATCAATGCCACAATCAGTACAAGCTATTTGCAGCATATGGCAGCTTCATCAATTCCTTAATTTTGCAATTTTTATTGCTGTGTAATCATTTTGTTGTGTCACCTTGGTTCGTAAGTGGAATAAATTATATTACATTATGATGATTCATATTTTGCAGATTTGACAGCTGAAGTATTTATCTCCTTGTCTCTCTCTCTCTTTATGCTCTTTCATTAACAGCAGTTTTGTTAAGTAGTTCCTGTGGATAAGCATGAAAAAATTAATAATTGATTGAAATTATGATAAAATCACAATAAATTATCATAAACCAGCCTTTGAAGTAGCTTAGACTTAGGTTTCCTATTTCACCGCTAAATTGCTCACTTAAGTTTATAATGTTTGATGTGTGTTGCAGTAAGTGAATTATCACTAAGTCTAAAATAATAATCACAGAAGGCCCTTTATTTAAAACTCAATAAGAACAGAATGCACCCTTGATGCTTACAACTCAGCCAACCACTTGTGATCAAGTACAGTAAGTTCAAATGCAAATTTAAATATGCTAGTAGCCAATGGGTATATAAATCAATATGAAGTTGGCTCAAAACTTGGATATTCAACTATCGTCAATTTTAATGCAAGGCCGAAGATTGCTAATATTGTATCTAGCAACCTGTTATCGTGGCTTTGAGAGAGAGGCAGAGTATATGCTATCATAAACATCACCTTAAATATGCACGAACTAGTTTGCATTCTGGCAGGGGAAATGGAAAGAAGAAGAGTGTAAAGATCCAAAACATAAAATACTGGCTAAAGGAACCTTGTAAGTTTCTCTGCACACTCATAGTACTTTTTTTATTTTTGTATGCATAGTGCCTCAATATGGTTGAAACATTTTTCAGACGGCTGTCTGTTGTGTAACGAGCCGTTCTGATGACAAGATCTAGTGCCAAATTTGCTGTTATTTTATTAAGTTTTTGATGTATATGACTGCATTATTTTACTGATAAACAGGGCCATTTGATATGGTTGCACCAGGCAGCAACATTTTTAGAATTAAGAGAAGCATCCAGCAGCAAAATTTTTAGAATTTAGGATAGGCTTTGAGTCTCAGAATTAAATACAGAAACTTATTTTGAATCTAGGTAGACATTTAACAGCAGAATTCACAACCCACAAAAATTACACTGGATGGTAAAGTGCTTAGTGCTGGAAAATGACTGAAAATTGAAAAGGCTTCAGAAGCAATGTGATAGGTTATGGAGTACTTCAGAATACTTAACACTATCCATGTAAAGTTCCCTGTTACAAGTTTGTGCCATACCTTGTACAAGGTTTGCATTCAAAGTTTTGTTCATAGAAAAAACATGGCTATTTTTCAAACATGTCTGAGACCTATCATAAGCCATAAGATTTTTTAACATGGATTTCTCGGTGAAATTTGTATTTATGGCTACTAACAATATATCAAGCCTAGAATTAACCTATTCTTCTGTTATTATGAACTTAAAACATTAAAAAATAAAGATAATATAAAGGGGCAAGTGTAAAAACTGGATATATTCTTTGGAGATTATTTCAAACAGGATATTTTTTCCTATAAAATTTTTGCATAGCTGACGATGGGCATCCAAGAATTTTCAGGATGCTAAATCATGTGTATGTACAGGTATAGATTTAAAAAAAAAAAAAAAAAAGTGAATAAAGCCTTCTCATGTAGCATTATTACCTTGCAAGAAACAAAATTTCTGAATTTTTCATCTTAAAATGATATACCTATTTGTTATAAATACACTTTGTGACATAAAAGAGCAAAGCACTGAGAAGGAATTACTGAATGTGACAAAACTGCATATGTTCATACCTTATGGTGGAATATGCAAATGATTAATTTTTGCCACCCAGTGACTCACTAGCTGAAGCTGCAGTTCATTGCAACAGATCATGCGGATAATATATGAAACAGAGGACATTTCAGTGCTGAGGCATTGGAGTGTAGTTATGTCAACAGATGTAAACTAGACAGGTTAGCGAATACTATGAGCAAATGTCACCATTTGAGAAAGGATTTGCAATGGTACATTTGGGTAGAAGCAATGCTACTTTCAATGATGTGTCCAAGAATGTGTGAACCATGGCTGTACACAGCATCAAGAAGGCAGCAATCGACTAAGAGAGTGGACAGAGTGATCATCTGATCAGTGCTGGCATTGATAGGCAACTCAGTGAACAGGAGTTGAGGTCTCGGCGGCCATTATGCTGATTGCTTCTCAGTGTTGCACACCACCAGACATGTTTGCAGAGATGTCAGGTGAATTTCACCTAAGATCTCATTGACTTGAGTGTAATCGTTTTCTGTGATGAGTCTTGCATTAAATTGAACCCCAACGACCAGCAAAGACATGCCTGGAGATGTCTAGGATAGTGATGAGATTCTCACCTGATTGTCATCTGCCACAGAGCCCGACATTAGGGAGTTATGGTGTCGGGGTGCAATTTCGTTCGGTAACCAGACCCTTCTGTAGTCATCCATGACACCCTTTACAGCACAACAGTACATCAACAACATTTTACCCTGTTACCTTTTCTTTCATGGACGACTGGGATTACACTTTAACAGGATAATGCTCTGCCATGCATTGCATGCCTTTCTATTCCTTGTATTCATACTTGTCCATTACTTCTCGGGTATGTGCAATTGGAAGATCTGTCCCCAAAGTATGCTTGGGCTCTAACTTGCCTGTAAGAACATGTATGGTAAGCTATCTCTCAGGAGGACATCTGAAAACTCTATGAGGCAATACTCAGCGAGATAACAGCTTACATCAGAGCCAGAGGTGGTCCAGTGGATTTTTGCCCCCTCTCCCTTGTAGCTGTATTTTCTGAATAAAACATTTAATTTGTATAGTGCTGTTAGTATTTCATTTTCAATGCTTGTATATCACAGCTACTAATTTTGGTCTCATTCAGGTAATTCCTTTTTGATCACTGCTTTTAATGTTACTTACTTATAAAAGGATATTTTAGAAGTTCATTTTCTCATATTATATGCTATAAGCCTTACTTCTCAAACATTTTTACATTTGAATGTAATTTTTTTATTCTCTGCTTACTTTTATGAAATTTTATCAAAATTGATCACATTATAAATTGTCAATATAAAGATATCATTTTTGTTTCCAAATCATGTTGCTGTTTATGCTTTAATTTTATTTTTGGGTTCCCTTATTACAGAAATCAGATTTCTTGAACTTCTTCTACAAACACTGCATGCATGTTTTAATAGCACCAATGCTGGCAAACACCACAGATGATAAACCAAGCAAAGGTTATATATCTTTATCACTTTTCTTAACTGTAGTTAAATTATGTAATGGTTGATATAGATTTTTATAGCAATAAAAGTAGCAATTTAATAAAGGATATATTTAGTTTAATTTTAAGCTAAGACAGTGCAAATAATTTAAACTGATTGTATTCGCTCTTCCTCCCCTCCCAAATTGAATATTTGATTCTGGCTTGAAGTTGATACCAAAAGAACCCCTCCAAAAAAACTTCTTTTCTGAAAACCGTGTTTTTATATGCATAGTTTCCACAGTTTAAAAGGTTTATTAAGAGTATTGCATTTCTTTTAACTTCTGTATTTACTTATTTTTTTATATGAGGCTATAATAGTATATTATAATTACTATGTTTCATTAGTTTTTAGATTATAGTATACAGTGAAAAGTCGTTAATTCGGACACCCATAATCCGGACCTCAAAGCTACAAACTTTCTGCGCATGTGCATAATATGTTTACGCATGCGTGTTTAATGTATAACGGACGCTATAAGCTAAGCTAAAATTATCTAATTCAGTATGTTGCAGATTGCGTTGTTCCTTAACCCCTTCGTGCCGACTGTCACGTATATATGCCAGCAACGAACACGCTTATCTACCGGCCGACACGCAGGCGTGCCAGAGCATTGTTGCGTTTCTACCACGTATTTGTGCCAGTACCTTGGAACGTTTTTCAAACTATAATTTCTGCCACAAGATGGCACTGTATGTCCATATGGTTTCAGATACATGTACATTAGACCTTCTACTCGAAATGACTCACATAGAAAGCATGACTCACATACACGTGTTTTTGATTATATAAACAAACGGGGAACTAAATGTTTCCGAATGGCGTTATTTATGACGTCTCTTTAAATCGCACTTCATTCGCACGTGGTATTTGTTTATTGTAAGTAGAAGTTTTATATGCACTAAAGCGTTGAGTATTTCGGTTTACAGTTCAGTTTTTAGAAAATAATTAGATCTTGTTAGACGTGAATTCTTTCTGTTTTTTTACCGTTGCAATGTCGAAGCGTCGAAAATGTTTAACAGAGCATGAAATAGCAGAAATGATGCAAAATATTTCAGATATTGATTCTGAAATTCTGATATTGATTCTGAAAGATTAACTGAAAGACATTTTCCAAAACTTTGTTCAGAAGAGACTGATAAGAAAATGAGACGACGATGCTTCGTTTGTTCACATTCCCGGAAAAATCCTCCAAAACGGCAAATGAGTTATTACGAGTTCAAGGAATGTAACGTAGGACTGTGTGTAGATCCCTGTTTTCAAATTTTTCATACGAAAAGGAGAATTTTAAGTAATATATTTAGTTTTCAGATGTATAATGTTAAAAGTCATAAAATGGTGAGTAATTAAAATAAAATGTGTAAAATATGCATTTAAACAAGAAATAAGGTAATTAAAGTATATATATATAAATATCTATAAAGCATAAGCCGTTTAAATACTCTATAGAGCATTATTAAACAATGCGTTGATACTTCGGAAATTTCATGGATTTAGGCTTAGTAGCAAAAAAAGCCCCCGGCCCTGGAGAGACGCTCGCAGAAGACACTGCCGGCATCTGCGATAAGCGCGCGTTTTCGCTACCCGGCTCGAAGAGGTTAATCTTCGAATTGGATCTGGCTTATTATTTTTTGCTGACTGTTAGAGAAATTTTATAAAAGTAAGCTTGAACTTTCGATTATGTCAAATAGAATTTCCGATATATATTTACAAATATGTAAAGGATCTACAAAGCGAAAGTATGTTTCAAAATCCATTAAACAAAAAGTGGAATTGCTGCAAAAAATGGATAAAGGCATATCCTTTGTTTCTCTAACTATTACGAAATCTGTTTATCAATTTCACGCTGCTCTGTGGTGGTGGTGGGGGAAATGCCACGGAGCACAATGAATTGGAAGTTGATCTGTCAGCACTATCCTTATCTTCAGGGCAGATGTTTTTATTTTATTTGGCTTATAATTCCTTACTAAATGTAGTATTTCATCTCGATGTACTCCGTCTTTGATATGATTTAAATCAAATTCCTTCTCATTATAATTCGATTCCGATAGTGAAGAAAGTGACACAGAGGTTATTGAAAACGAAAAAATTTCGATTGACAAATTAGTCGGTATTCTCGACACAGCAATTATAGGACTTGAACAGTGGAACTTTGTAACTGAAGAAGAAATTATGTCTGTTTATAGAATTAAAGAGAAAGTATTATCACATAAAACAAAGCAACTTAAACAACTTACATTGAAAGAAATGTTTAATAAAGTAAACAAATAAATATTAAGCTTTTTTTTTGTAAATTTTGATACCCTTTAGATCATAATTGTTCTTTATTTCATAAATTATGGTTTCATATTTTTAATTTTATAATTTCTGCATGCCATCTTACGAGATTTAAACTGATGATCTATAATCCGGAAAATCGATAATCCGGAATCGCCAAAGTCCCGACGAGTCTGGATTAACGACTTTTGACTGTAGTATGTAAATCTTTTAATTATTTCTGTTATAAAATTCCTTTTATGTAAGATTATATTTCAGAGAACATAGTTAAAACTAAAAACACTAAAATTACACGATAGTCTTACATTTCAGCCATTGCATTGGTCAGAATCTGACATTTTCTTAAGAGAATTTTTTATCAGTATTTTTGCAATGTAAAAGGTATTGTTTGATAAATTAGTGCTTGTAGATATAAAGAATTGTGATAATCTTGCTGTGCACTTTTTATGACTGATTGAATTTTTATGAATATGTGTGCATGAATACTTTTATATGTAGTCTTCAATTTAAAACTTATAAGAATTTTAAAAAAGATAGCTAATGATGTCGGACTAAAATATTTACCATAAAAAATGAAAAAACTAATTTAATAGGTGTATTTGAGCATTATTATTATGTGAAATTTAATCGAATGCGGGTATTGGTATGTGAAATTCTTCTAGTTATGGTGTGATTTATGTTAATTTGTATCCTGTTTTTATTAAAATTAAGTATGTTGAATAATGATAATTTTCAAACTTTTTCTCCTCTTTTTTCTAGAAGATAGTCAAACTGCACAGTTGATGGGTCTCATTTTGGAACTATTATCCTTCTGTGTGGAGCATCACACATACCATGTCAAAAATTATATATTGCAGAAAGATTTACTGAGAAGGATATTAGTCTTAATGAAATCAAAGCATACATTCCTTATTTTATGTAAGTTTAACGTAATGTGATTATAAGTTATTAGATCACCCCCCTCCCTTAAAAATGACGTTCTGCATTTTTTTGAAGTGTTTTAATTGTTAAATTTTTCTAATGGCTTTTACTTTTTTCAGTAAAAAGAATCAAATGAAAATACTGTGGAAAGAGTCATTATAGTAATAGATTGGGATATCATAGTTACCGCCAAAAGTATTATTATTGGTATCTTCAATATAAATATTCAAAGAGAGAAATGCTGTCATTGTTAATTCTGGCTAACCATTGAATCAAAAGGAATCTCTTGCCTTGGTCATAATTCAGTTAATTTCATAATTCAGTTAGTCTGACTGTATACTAAATGCATTAAATGTATTCTCGGATTCATAAACTACATACTGTGTGATCACAAACGAGTCTTTTTTAGAAAACTGAAATTTGGTTCTTTTTAAAAAATTTTCAGAATATTTCCAAAGTTAAAATGCAGTTAGTTATGTTTGAATATCAAAGTATTTCCATGGGATAGAATTCATTTTTATCTTAAATCTGTCTTAATGTAGAATCAAATTATAATAATTTTAGGCATTTGCATGATATCATGTCTTCTTTAAGGTTTAATGAAAAGTAAATTTGGTCATAATTAATTCTTCTAAATAAGAGACTAGTGGAAAATTCCAGTCTTGTGGGTTATTGTACTTTCAAACACATTACATTTGTTACACTGGACAAAGGCAAATATTTGCTTACATTTAAGGAACAGGTATTGATAATCTTTTGCAATAAAAATTAGTAGAAAATTCCTGTTTCACTAGAACATATTTACAAATGCATTTTCTCGTGGGAGACAAAGTATGTCATTTATTACATCTGCTATTTTTTATGATGAATTTAATAAATTCCTAGAATGTCCCAGAAAAGCTCTGTCTTCATAATCAATAACCGGGACTTTGAGTACCTTGAGAATGTTCATCAAAAACACATCTGAATTTCAACTCATTCAGAACTAACTCACAGTAATATAGATAGTGTCGTCTCTTTGCTGGTGGGTTGCATTCAATATCCACCATATTTGTTCACTAAAATAACTCTACAAAACCTCCCATCGATATTAAGAACATTATTGAAAACAGATATCATCTATGCTTGTATTAACAACTGTACAAAACATCCCATCAGTATTAAGAACATTATTGAAAAGACATCTATACATGCATTATCAAAGATTCTGGAATTCAGAAGACCCCCAAAGTAACAGTATAAATAGGATAATCAAATTTAAAATTTGTGAATATAGGAACTATGCCTGAAATGAAAAACTGACAGACTTATGGATATTTGTGCATTGCTTGGAAGCTAAATATCTGCTGTTGTGTCTATTCAGACTATAAGAAGTCTTCATTTGATCAGATTATTTCAGCATGATGTTTCTAGAGACATCAACTAGGCTTGTAGTGTGAAATTATATGGCATATTTTTGCAGAAGCTTGGTGCTCATCCTTACTGTGCTGCACCATTTCAAGAACCATAACTGCAGTGAATTCATGGGGGAAGCTGTGCCATAAAGGTAGTCAAAAATAATCTAGACATTTCCTCCAACATCCTTTAGATAAACAAAGTAGTACTTCTACCTAACAGATTTCTAAACCAATAGTATAATCATTGTTATCATCGAGTTGAATGTATTTCTTACTGTTATTACTTTAAATTATTTGCTTTTTTGTGCAACAAGCAGTTCTTTAAGTTGACAAAGGTCATAAATGTATAGATCCTTTCCCCCCTCCCTTTTTGAGGGTAATAGTTATTTATTTTATGCATGTCTTGTTCACAAATTTCTCATATGTCATTATATTCATTTATTTAATGTTAAAATATAAGTCTTTCTTGTACTTTAGCTCAGTGGTAACTTAAAACTAAATAAATTTATTTGATAATCTATTTCAAATCATCCATTTTTCATTCAGATTCTATATTTTGAAAATTTTTTGGATGTTGGTGCATAATTTATGAGTATCTGCAGTTGGTACAGTATTAATACAACCACTATAGAAGAAGTTGCCAAATTTTGAGAATGTGCCTAACTCTGCCGTGTGTATATCAGTTCTTCAGACAACCATACTCACAGTTCTTAAAGTTAGGAGTATTGCCGTTTTCGTATGCATTCCTAGTTCCAACAGTTTTTATAGTGGAATCTAGATTTTTTTTGCCTCTTGATGGTCATGAATGAGCTCATATTTAATTTATGCACTGCAGTGGATGCTGCTTGTGTAAAACTGACAGATAACGTACATATTTGCGAAGAAAGAATTGCTTAATCTTAAAATTGCTGATGAATTCAATTCATTTTTAAAATCTGCGCTTAGGGAATTGGCCAGCAATGAGGAAAAATTCAGCAGGAATACAGTATTTTACCACAAAATCCCTCAAAGGAATAAGTAATTGTTTTGAATACGTTGTTAAAGTGATCACCACAAAATTTCCTCCTGAGCAAAAGGAAAAAAAACCCTTTTAAATAGATTTTGGCATTTAGTTGATTTTTTTAAAACCACCCAGTTATAATGTTAAATTATGTAATAAGTACATTTTTCAATTGAATGATGACTTAATCATTACTCTTTTTCATACGTAAAAAATTGCCAAATTTTGTCACCAAAGATGACTGTATTATGTAAAAAAATCGCCAACGGTGGTTGTGTTAATACACAAGTGCCCTGTAACTTGAGTATACTTCAGTTTTGAAGTCAATAAGTTATAATCTCTAACCTGATGATTCTCCAGTTTGATTTGTTAGTGGATATTATATTGACCATCATCATTAAAAAATATTCTTAAACCATGAATGATATAATATTCAGAAAAAAATATTTAATAAAAAACTGCTATTTAAGATAAATTTAGTGTAAAGATTTGTAGTTAAATTTATATTTAGCATAATAGTTTTTTATCCTGTTTTTGAAAAACTATGCGGTTAGCAAATTAAAGCATAGAAAAGAAGGAAAGAAAACCTGGGTGTTAAATTTATGGAAAATATTCAACTTTGTATTAAAGTACAGAAGTTGTCCCTTCATAATACCTAGTATGCTTTGCCATAATTAAATAAACCAAACCAAACCAACCCTTCATAATACAGTAGACTTCCAATAATCTGCAAACTTTGGGACCAAGTGTCGTGCAGATATTGAATTTTGCAGATTGTTCAATATTTGTCATTCTGAGTTTAGTTTATATTTTCCCTTTTCTAATTTTTACATTAAATTTGGTTTGTTTGCACTTAATTAGTAAATTATACTTTAGGAATTATTTAATGAGGATTTATTGTATAAAAAACTATTATATTTTTAATACTTGCAAATGTCATATAATAGTAGGGTAAAACATTGTTAGAGAAAAAAGTCTAAAATGAAAGCGAAAGCCAAGAAGCAGTTTTTGCAAATCACATCAAACTATAGTATGTAAAAGAAATGTACAAGCAAAATTGCTTTTAGATAACTTTCATGCTATTAAATGTAAGTAAAAATAAATAAATAAAATCTCAGCAATGCAGTTTTCCTTAAATTGCTTTCCTATGCTAAATCTGCCATTAAGTGCACATGCTGTTAGGTAATGATAAAACTAGCAGTTACCAAGAAATGCTGGAGTTGAAATTTTATTTTTTTAAAAAAATTATTTATTGTAGATATGTTTCTGATTTTAACATCAGATGAATTTCTAATAAGTTTTAAGGATCTATTTCTATTTGTCATCCATGTAAATAATTTTTTAGTCACTTTGAAGAATGTAAACAAATCAGTAACAAAGTGCCTTTCATTTAAAATTCAGCATTGGAAAACTTGTGGATAAATAAATTATTTACATGCGTGAACCACGTGAACTAAATATACAATAGAATCAAAGACTATTCAAAAGATTATCTAAAATTAAAAATTATCAAATTTATTAGAAAGAAATTACTATTAAGTTTGCCATGCTAGATGAGTTAAATGTATAGCTTATGTAGCACACATTTAGCTGTGTTAATGGTCATACATAATGGTGAATGTGGGCGAATGCAACTTGAAGAATTTCAAAGTAACGTATAGTTTTCATACATGATTGCTAGAACTGTCAAACAAGAGCTATTAACTATTCAATACATTTATAGCTCTTATTTTGAGAGTTGCATTCTTTTACTCCTCCATATCAATTCATCCTTCTTCACAGATAGATTTAATGCCCAGACCTGAAGGTACAGATTGAAAGAAAAATAACTTCACACATTGCTCAAAATTGCAATATTAATTTATTCAAAACATAACATTTGAAAATATAAATCATCAGTCATCCACCAGTTGAATGCTGTTTTCGTACGAAGATTGTCACAAAAGACAAATACGCTCTCATTTTGCTTATTCTGCCACAGCTCCAGAATTAGAAACTTCTTTCAAAATGATTGGAAATTAAAATTTTAATATTGATAAGATAGCTGACATAATAATAGCCTGAAAAAAATAATAAGCTGTATCAAATTATAAAGTTCAGAAAAAGTCCATTTTGCTATGTTAACTGAACTTGGGTTTTTCAGAATCTAACTCTGTTTTTCCCACTGGTCTCTTAACAAAAACAAAGCAGTGTGAGCGACATCCCACTCCAAATAAATATTTTGGGCACTTCATTTTTTTTTTTTTTTTTTTTTTTAAGGTCACACAGAAAATATTAACCCCTTCAGCATCCATTCAAGGGCTGTAAGTGTTATCGTGGCTGACATCAATCAGTATATTACCACTGGCAATTATGGGATTCCCTAGCCAGCAGGTGTTTGAAAGTAATGCACAGGAATCCTAGGAAAAGTTATTTTAAACGACATACCTCTTTCCTTATATTCTTCATTCCTAGACTTTGGAAAAATAATGCTGGTGGTCTGGATATGAGTGTGGATTTCAGGCTTTATACTATATAGTTAAAAAGCAAGGGGGGAAGGGAGAGAGAGAGAGAGTTTACAGTGACTTGTTGTGAAGTTGTTAAATATGTCTTGTGCTTTCAATTTTGGTAGAATTGATTCATTGTATAAGAAACCTGCATAATATAGTTTGTGTAACCTTATGTATAGCACTTTCTAGATTGTTGCATTCAGTAGTAAGCAAAGATACATAGATCATACAGCTGTATCAATTAAAAAATTGCATGACATTGTCTAATCATTTGTATTAAAATTGCTTACATCATGGTTCATATCAGTAGTCAGGTAGCAAGATTCCAATCAAATGATTGAAAGTTAAGAGATTCTTCATTCTCAGAGAAAATGAAATTTTTCTATATAGTTTCAGGTTTTATTAAAAGTAGTGGAATTTCACAAAAATATGTATCATAAAATTAAATTTCTTAGGAGGAAATATAATAAGTAGGAACTTGATATCCTTGGAAAATCAAAGTCAAAACCAAAAAGTTAAATTTCTTAGGGGGAAATATAACAAGTAGGAACTTGTTATCTTTTGAAAATCAAAGTCAAAATTTCTTCTAGAACAGGGGTTCTCAACTGGGGGAAAATTTCAAAAGTTTCGGGAAGGTGCAGTCAGCCTTTTATTTAGCTGCTAAGTATTTAGTTTTAGTCTGTGAATTTATAAAACTACTTTTATTCAACTTTTAGTATTTATCAACATTTTCTAACCTTTTTTTTTTAATTGCCAGGTGTTTTATTTAATAGCTATTAGTCGCTACAAGGGCCAGAAGTGGTGGCCATTTAATTATGGAAGCACCTAATAGGTGGCCACCGTTGCCTCCTATGATGGAATGGGCAGTTACTACCATGCCTTCTCCAAGATTTAAACCTGGGCCCATGGCTACAGAAGTCAGGGTCACTAACTTTATGTTGGATTAATTTATAAAACGTATTAACAAAATCATCTAAATCTAGAAAAATATATATATTTATTTTTCGAGTTTTGGAAAGGAGAAGGAATGATCTCCTAGCAGTGGTGAAAGGGATGCATATTACAAAAAAATATGAGAGACCCCTTTCCTAGACTAGCTTATTATCCAGGTTCTACTGTCTATTAGAATTACCAAATTGAGGAATATTGTGTGTGTTAGTGTTCTAGTTTGGATATTTTAAATAATTATCATGTTTGTAAATTACTGAGAGTTGCAGTTAACAAATAATGCGAATAATTTTTTTTTTTTTCATCCCCAGGTGCTCTTAGATTTATGCGCAAAATAATAGGCTTGAAAGATGAATTCTACAATCGATACATAATTGGTGGTAATCTATTTCAACCTGTTGTTGAAGCATTTAAAAGAAATAATGGAAGATACAACTTACTGGATTCTGCCATTGTTGAGATGTTTGAATTCATTAAATTGGTTAGTAACATTATTTGAGAAAATCATCTCGGTTCTTTTTGTTTGAAATTACTTTAAAAAAAAAAAAAGTTTGGAATAAAATGTCTCTCAGTTTAATAGCATTATTAGTCTTTAAAAAAGATAAGTATTTATTATTTTAACACTTATGTTAATGTGTTTTATGTAATGTAATACTTTTTTTATCAAAAATATTATGCCCTTCCATTAATTGATTTTTAAAATGCTATTTGTCCGCATTAAGAAGAAACTCTCAAATTTGGCCATTTGTTTATTATTTTTATGTGAACAATGCTGGTTGGTGTTTTAAATTCTTAATCTGTGGTTTTTTTATTAAATTGTGTTCGGATATTTTAATTTATCAAATGTTTTGAATATTTTTGATTTTATGTTAGTACTGTTTTTTTATTATTATTTATTTATTTTTGTTTCAACATTTTTCTTACAGGAGGACGTTAAAACTTTATGTGGTCATGTTGTCGAGAGGTATGGTAAAGTACTAGACAAGGTAGATTATGTTCAAACGTTCAGATCTCTTAGGTTGCGGTATGAACAGCATTTAGATAGGAAGGACAGATCATCTGTGGATAAGTAATTATCTTTTTTTCTATCCATATTATGGATTTTTGTTAAAAATATTAAATACAGCTAAGTGGGAAAATACTTTGTAACATTTTATTCTTTCTAGTGTGTCTCTTATAATGCGAAATAGCAGGTATCGACGTGATCCTAGGCAGTTAGATGAAGATGAAGAAATGTGGTTTAATGATGATGATGAAATAGAAGATGAAGAACCGGTTAATGAGCACAAAGATTTAGATGATGAATTTGATCAAATAGGAATTGGAAAAATTCTGGATAAAAGAGGTATCTTATAATTCCTGTAATTTTGATATTTGCTTAAGTTCATTAAGAGAATAAGTCAAGTTGGAAATAATAAAGCATTTTCTTTCTTTAATAATATCAAATCTGAAAAGTAGGTCGTCTGGTGTATGAAAGAACATATGCTTGAATTTTAATTTCTTCATTGTTCCTAATTGCAATCTTGTTTGCTAGAAAAGAAATTAATTAATTTATTTGTTAAACTTTATGTATTATTTAATTTAGTGAGTGTTGTTTATTCAATGTCAGTGCATTCAATGATGTTGTCTTGGTGGTAGCGGATACCTGGTTTCTCCATCTGCAAGTCCAACGTAAATCGGACTGCAAGCTAAATCTGGACATGTCGGAAAACATCACACAAGCCCATTGTGACGATCTGCACATTGCAAGTTCTCTACTCCAGGCTAACCCCTGGCATCAGTGACTTTGCTGTGAGCATATATACCAATCTATCCTAAACTTCTGTACACGGTTTGCCTTGAAACTGTTGTACCTGTGGCTGAAGATGGCTGACGAGACAGGTCTGATCCTTTGCTCCATCTACTTCTTTGACAGTTACTGCCAAATACCCAGCATCATAATTCGGGGGGTCAACCTGTACTGTTGATTCTACTGACATGTCCATCATTTTGGAATCGTTGCCAAAGCCTGGGATAACACTTTTCAATTCTAAGTTCCTCAGATACTTCCATCTAAGTGTACGCCCACATTCCAGGCGGCCGATAATTCTACCATGTAAAAACTCATCCACATGCATCCTCTGTGTCACTTGTGAAAAATTTTACTTTACTGTGAAAAACTTTATTTTTTTCTTATATACACTTCTGTCACACTCTCGTCATTGTGGCATGTTATCGTTGTCATCTGATGACTTCTTGTAATTTGCATATTATTCTTGAAGATGTGTGCAATAATTCAACAGGTGAAATTTTTACTTTAGAGTTCGATTTCCATGTGATTCTGAATTATCCTTAATGTGTATTTTAAATTATTACTTAAGCTCTTATATATGTTAAAATTAGCATTTGATAATCTTTTATCTTTATTGTACATGAAAATATATTTAAAAAAGTGCTTATATTATGAAATAATTTTCGGAAACGCTATTCAGATTATTCCAAAGTTTTAATTGACAAAATTCATTAATAAAGTTTAAAATTAGTAAAATAATGCAATAAACACTATTTACAGTAAAAAGTAACAAAATTTAAAATGAACACTTGAGTATGGTAAATCTTGAAGCATGAAGAAATGAAGAGTCCTTCATTGCATGTTCCACAAGCATAATATGACTGTTGCTTTTTTCTTTGTTTTAGCATGGTTTGTGAACATACTATTCACCTTCTTCAGGGGTTTTTTCACCCTTTTCGTTCATACAGAGGATAGGAAAATGCCTACCAAAATCACATAGATAATAGTACAGATCCCCTAACTGCAAACTGCTTTTCTTCTTGATAATTTTCTTAGTTCTCGAAAATTTGTTCAATCAGTTTCATTTTAAATTGGAGAAGCAGCTTCCTAATGCCATGTTTTTAGTCGTAAAGGATCTTGGAGTGCAGTATTGTTATATCCATCAGCCCGAAAAACAATTTTTTGTACGATTTAACCGATTTTCAAAAACATGAATAGTGTGTCATAACTCCATCTCCTATGTCTACACCACCCATGTTTTTGTTGTAAGCAGTAATACGTTAGGTTTTTAAAATGTCTTTTCCAGTAATTCTATCTTTTCTGCCAGATTTAGCTATTTCTGGTGCATGTATGCTCGTAAGTATAAAAAAGTCTTTTTTCCTTTAAAGCAGAATGTTCATATTGTTTCGCTGCATTACATCAAATCCACTCCTATTTAGTTTTTTTCTTGGAAAGTCTGTAGGAGTTCCTTATCGTGTTTTTAATGCAGTTACTGTTTACTTTATAAAATTTTTGCTTAATATACTTTATACAGTTACTGTTCCACAAACATTCATTTTCTATGGAATGCAAATATACCGCTAGTGATGGGGAACTGAATAAGCAATCCAAATATAAATTACACCTTTTCTCACATAAATCACTCACCAGTGTTTTCACTAATCTTTCTCTGTAACATCTGTCACTGCTTAACATTTCTGTGTTCTTCCCGCAGTAAATTAAAAAATTCCATACATAACTGGTAACTGAGTTGCATAACTTTTATATTTTTATCCCATAATGCAATCTTTTGGATGGAACGTGCTGTTAAAAGCCAAAATGTCCTTTCCAAGCAAAAAGGAATTCATCAGTACAAATATTTGCCTCGGGTGTGTAGTTTCTTTTAAATTTATTTTTTAGTTTTTCTACAATTAATACCAATTTTCCCAACTCTTGTCTGAGGTGAAATGCAAAAATTTTTAAATATTAAGGAATATATTTCTAGGCATAACTCTGTTGAAAAACGGAGTAGCGAATATTTCGTTTGTAGTGAAATACATTTTTAAATTGGTCTTCTTGATAATGCCCATTAGTATTAGCATTGCAAAAAATACTTTTATAGTCTCAGTATTTACATCTGAAAAGAACGAGACTGAAAAAAAAAAAAAGGCTTAGAAAGGCTGACTTTGAAGTTGATGGAGCTCTTTGACCGTTTTGAGCAAAACTGTTTGTTTCTTCAGCAATCAAATTTAGTAGATCATCATCAAAGAAAATATTTAAAAAATCAAATTCTTTTTCAACATTTACTATAGATTTGTTCCCAATGTTCTAGTAAATGTATGGGGGTGTAATTCCTCAAGTGCATGAGTCCAAGATGATGTATCTTGAGTCACGCTTTCACATTAAGTTGAAAGCAGGTACTCACTGAACTCTGCCTCTGACAAAATGTCTGTATCAGAAACTTTAGAAGTATCACTAGAAGTGCATGAGTCCAAGATGACGTATCTTGAGTCACGCTTTCACAGGAAGTTGAAGGCAGGTACTCACTGAACTCTGTCTCTGACAAAATGTCTGTATCAGAAACACTAGAAGTATCACTTTTTAACTCTTTAGAAAATGAATCATCCCTCTCATCTTTAACATTTCGTTCATTTACCATACAAGTGTATTCTTCCTCTGATAAATAATGCCTGTGCATCATAATAGACTAGAGTCAAGCCTTTCCTAAATAAAAAGACTCAAAATATATCTGACAGCAATGCAAAATATAACAGAATCCCACAATAACCCTAAAAGACTCTACATAGTAGGAGGGTAATGAATTAAAAAAAAAGAATTAGATATAAATAAAAAATGTGAATGCTTATATTAACAGGTGTTGATTTACAGAGCCCAGCTGTGTTTACGTTGCACTTTCACACCTCCTCGCAACAGCTGATGAGTAAAATACCAAAGTCAGACAGAATGTATACAAACTGAAGTTCAGGAACCTGTGTTCATTTCAAAAGTAATGGACGTAGGGTGCTAGTGGTTTTAAAAAAAGTTCTAGCTTAAAATACATATACTCATCCACCCGTCCCCTGAATTAAAATCTTCAATGATACATGGTTGGGACGTTTGGCTTTGAGAGACATTTGTGAGGAATGTATGTATGGGATGCCCATCCAGTAAGTGTTAATAATAGTCGCAAGTAAGCTTATGCTTGTGCGATTCCAATTTAAACCTATAGTAGTCCTTTTTGCATATTTATATCAGTTAAAAATTTCTTTTGATTGCTGGGACAGTTTTCCTGATTTCTTAAGAATTTTCCCAATATTTAGCACTTTTGATGAATGATCTGTATATTGATAATCAGGAGTTCAGTGTACTTTACTGTGATTCATGTCTAACCATTGTGTTTGGTATAAAGCTGAATAATTAATCCATTTAATGTCATTGCCTTCATATACCTAAGGGCCATTATATTATGACCACCGTGTTAATAACATATAGTACCACCTTTAGCCCTCAAAACTGCCAGCACCCAGCATGGCATTGACTCCAAAAGGTGCTGATACGTATTCTGAGGTATCTGGTACCAAGCGCTATCCAAATGGTCCTGCAGTTTCTGCATATTGCGAGGGGGGTAGCATGGCAACACGAATTTGGTTTTCCAGGTGGGACCACAGATGCTCTATTGCAGCAATTCTCAACCTGTGGTACGCAAAAGAAAAATAGGTGATATGCAAATAAATAAAATATATTCTATTAAGTTAAAAAAAAATCTCGTGGAGGGGGGGAAAAACTGGTACAACAAAATCAAACTCGAACTGAAGATTTCAAAAATAACACACCTGTAAACTTTTGGGTGAAAAACAATTTAAAGGCATCTCAAGTAAAGCTATCAGTTTTTTTTTTAAATCTATTTGTGTGAACAAGGTTTTTCTTCCATGTTATATTTGAAAAATAAATACAGAACAAAATTAAAAGTGGATCCTAATTTACGTTTAAAGCTAAATGAAATAAGGCCAGATGTAAAGAAACAGACCCAAATTTCGCACTGAATTTTTTAATTTAACCCGTACACGACAGGCATCTCTGTTACCGAAGCATTCTCTTGGGTTGGCGCGTTAACCAGATACATCTTCTTGTGGGGATGGGCAATTCGTTCTGCTAAGTCTAACTTTGGGAAAAAAATTCATATAAATTAAATTTGTCATCCAATTATTCCAATTTTTGGAACATTATGAGAAGAACATTCAGATAGTTGTCAGAATTAATTTTAAAGCTTTATTAATATATTTTCCTTAAAAATTTTATACTCATTCTAAAATAATATAATTTTTCCCTTATCCCACAAATAAATATATATAGAAAAATATCCAAACAATCTCAGATTTTATTTAACAAAACACATAATTAAAATTAAACAATATTAAAACTGTCTTTCATAAAAATTCAACGTGGAAACAACAAAAAGGAATATTGTATGCAATGAAGATTATACTGTTGCAGATGGCAAAAAGTGACTGAATGCATAAGAAATAAGTGTAATGAAATCTAAAGAAATTAAAATTTCTTTATAGTAAATATTATAAAATTACAATTAAAAAAACATGTTCTGTGGTATTATTTGTGAATTATAAAATAGAAATCAATAAAGTAATTATTGCTTCTTTTTCTCTCTAACATGCCACAATCATAAAGACTACTGCCACTTTAGTATTGGCAGGCACTTTTGGGGGGGGCAAACGTTTTTCAATTTGCAGGTCTTCACCGCTTTTTCTTTTGGGGGTAGAGCTATGGCAGAATCCAGAAACATTGCATTAAAAGTTGTTTTGAGTGGCCTGAAATTGTAATGTAATGTATTTTCATATGTAATGGTTATTTTCAGTTAAATTTTAATTATAGCATTCAACTTTTATAACACACAGATTAATAACTACAGTTTCAGGCCACTAAAAACTTTTAATGCAATGTTTCTGGATTCTGCCATAACAAAAAAATTTAGCCATGAAGACCTACAAATGGGAAAACGCTTGCAGAAAAAAATGTGGCTGCCAATACTTTAGTGGCAGTAGTCCTCTGATTGTGGCATATTAGAGAGAAAAAGAAGCAATAATTTCTTTATTGGTTTCTGTTTTATAATTCACAAATAATACCATGGAACATGTTTTTAATTGTATAAATGGATATTTACTAAGCAGAGTTTTAAATGGAAAAATTACTTATTCAAATAGTGGTAATGAAAATGCATCAACTAGCTATAATCATTCGAGATTGTCCTTGCCATTTCTTGTATATAGGGACTAAAAAAGTAATTAGATCAGAGATAGAAATGTTAGCAGATCAATGATTTTATTTAGAGAAAAGTTCAAAAAGCAAAAGCATAGCTTCAACTTCCTTAATGAATTTTAGGGCAGAACGTAAAGTCTCAGAAAATTTTGAAGAACTGCAGAAGATCACTTGGTTTTTTAGTGTCATATGATTATGTAATGTGGCACACTTTCATAACACACACACACACGTCCCCCCCTCCCCCGAAAAAAAAAAAAACTGCCAGCTCTGTTTATATATACAGTTTTTCCTCACGTTTCCTGACAGATCATCAAATCTCCCAGTTTTTAAATTTTAGTGTTTTCTAGTAATAAATGAAATTTAAATTGTGCAAATTTCATTCCTTTGGTAATTTCAGTATTATTTTCTTATTAAATTTTATTTGATCTAAATTGTCTTAATCTACTCTAGATTTTTGTAGAGCCTTGTAAGAAGATTCAATTAACATTTACTCAGTTAATATTTGTATTTAATTTTGTTTTGCATCAATATGTGATATATTATTTATTCACACTGTAGTGTGTGCATTAATTATTAATTTTGCATTCACTGTATTTAAAAGTACTTAAAATAAAAAATATATTAAAGCCTTCCTTTACATAGAATTTCCTCAGTTTAAAAGTGAAATAAAATTACAAAATTAAATTAACTAAAATTTAGAGTATCTGATTAAATATAACTATATTTTATAAATAGTTTAACCTTTTGAGGCCAGGGCTTTGGTAGCATTAAAAGCTACACCAAAGGATGGAGAATCTTGAACCGAATGCTTTCCTCCCTTTAAGAAATCACTTCCTATTTGCAACAAAGATTCTTGTGTGTAGTTTAATGGATTCTCAGAGGGGTGCATCTATGTCGCAAAAGGAGGACCTTTGAAAGAGATAAGTGGTTAAAACCCTAGGAACGTCAAATTTGACATTTTACCCCACTTTTCAGCCTGGAAAATGGGGGAAAAAGACATGGACACTAAAGTGGACAACCCCATCTTTTCAAAGAGAGGACCCATCCCATTTTCAAAAGGTTAATTACCTGCATTTTGCATTATACGATCAATTTAAGTCAATTTAGAGTTCTTTTGAAATGCCTTTACAGTGCAAAAACATTACAGGAACTTCTAGTTTTTCATATTTCAAGGCTGGCAGCTATGGTATTAATTTTTGGAGTTAAAACCTTAAACCCATAGAGGAAAAAATAAAAAGAGAGAGTTTGGAATTCTATTTAACGCTTCTCTTTTTTACTTCAGATATAGTGTATAAATTTGAAAAGTACAAAATATAATTGTTCATGATGCATAAATCGCATCCACTCCAATGAATTTTAATGTTTATGCCATAAAGCATGATGTAAATTGTGCTTAAACATGCATACTTGCAGTCCTGGCAGTTGAATTTTTTATGATTGAAGAAACACTCTTGAAAAATACAGCTAAATTGGCAAAATCAGCACATTCATTTTTAAAGAATTACATTTATTTGTACTTTTCTTGTTTTTATTATATATTTGACATGAGAAACACAAGATAGCAAGTTAGCAGTACAAAGGAGCCAAGGAAAAATGCTTAGATTCCAGTGAAAAGTGTTACTATAGTTCTACTTCTTTTCATTCGTTAAGTTTTTATTTGAAAAATTTAATATTATTGGCTGAAAGATCTCATGTTATGTTGTATATGTGTTTAGCATTATATAAGAATCACATGATTGATTATATGCATGTTACTGTTTTAAGAATAGAAAGGAGAGATAACTAAATAGGAGTTTTTGCTATTTCCCCTTTCTATCTTCTAGTTATTCCCTTCTTTCTGAAAAGGTTTCTGAAGTTTGATTTTATATGTATAAATTTGTTCTATGACTGCATCAGTCACTACTTTTTGATGTATAGTTTTTCACATAAATTAAATCAATGAAAAAAAAACACATGATGGATGAAGAAATTGCTTGCGTCTTTTTATGCAAAATTTCTTGAAAACGCACATGTAATGTGATAAAAGCAGAAATAGCGGAAAAAAATCTCCCCTACCCCAATCCATATGTTAAATTATAAAAAAAGACACTGTCTTATATCCATTGTTAATGTTGCATGTAAAAAAAAAAATTTTTTTTTTAAATATTTCTGTGTACATCTCTTGCATTATTTTAAATGTATTTTATGTAAAAATAGGATGAATATAAATATTATGATGCTCATAAATTACCTGTTCTTGGAAAATAAATTTATTATTATTTGTTATTTTATAATGGAATTTTTCTTCCAGCTCGAGATGCAGAAGGTAAAGAAAATGTAAAAACTGTTCCTTTGAGGTCATTTTCACCTGTATTAAATAACCGAAGAAGCAGTAGTCCCTCAAGTGTGACTCCACCTCTAAGTCCAGCTGTTGAAGTAAAATCACCTCAGTTGACTCGAAAGGTACTTTATCAGTGACATAATACATTTATTATATATTTTATATTTCTAAATGCTGTTAAGGACAAGTTTTATCATTTTTGATAAGATTCTGTCCAGCATAAACGGACTGTATTCTTTTACTTTTCATCAATATTATAAAAATACATTCCCAGATGCAGCAATAATTTTAAATTAAAACTTCAATAAAAAATACTTAAGAAGCATTAATATAAGCTATTTTGTACAGAAGTCTTAATTCTCTGAGCAGCATACTTTTTTGTATCTGCTCACAAGCTCTGTATTCAAGCATCATTTTATTAAGTAATTTGTATATTTACATATTTTATAATCTTCCATTAATTTTTTATCATGAGAAAAAAGAAGTAAGAAAGAAATATTTTAAATAACGGAATAATAGATAACAGAGCTAACAATCAAATAAAGATTATGCCACAATCAGAGTTTTAACATTTGGAACATTGACAGATGTTCCAAATTATATATATATATATGTATATATGATATTTTGGCAGTCGTGACGAACCTCGGCATCAATGTTCAGGCATGGCTTTATGCAGAGTAGTAAGGAGGATATCCAAAGACGACACAAATTGATTTAGTTTTCAATTGCACATTTTTATTCACTACAATTAGTAGATCATTTTCCTTTTAGATAACACTATTTAAATTACATATCCATAGTAGCTTTAACTAAGTATGATTAAATTTAAACTTTATGCATCATCACTAATTCTAACAAAGGAAGAAAAGATGGACAGGGCATGAAATATTTATGGACTCATGCCCTGTCCATCTTTTCTTGCACGCAATCTGACTGAAAAATGGCACGTACGCAGTATTTATAGTAGCGGTTATGTAATAGGCTAGCAAATTCTAGAAGGTACTGGTCTAGGGGGAAGATCTTAAATTGCAGAAAATGAATTAAAGGTTGTGTGTTCGCGTAGAGCAAAGTCATCGAATTTTTATATTTACATATATTATATATATATATATATATATACATATAGTACTGCTAATTGGAAAACTTGATATGGTGTAAGTATGTGCATCCACCAAAAATTATAGTTCTATCATTTTTAGTAGTTGTATTTTAGAAATTAAATTATAATACGAATGTTATTGAGAAAGGAAGATTGAGCTGAAAACATAGTGAAGGAATAGTTCATCCTCAAATTTTTGTTTAAAAACATCATTAGAAACAGGTTCCATTTTTAAAAACCCAGTTTTACTCCCATGTTCTCTTGAGAAAAGTAATAGAATTATTCCTGACTAAAAGAATGGAAAGCAATTGTTATGAGATGCTCTGCTCGAAGAGGAATTGCCTGCTTCTTTTAATTATTATTATTGATCATGCTTGTGCATTTTTAGTTTATTCTGACAGTACTATTGATCGTGACATATTGGCAGGAATGATGTGTGTCTTAAGACGGAGATCCCTTTCAGATACAAGTTAAAAAGAATATAGGGTGTTTTCAGATAGAAGGAAATGGTTCAGATGAAATACTTTTAGACATTACGTTTTAATTGGATCTCACAAGCCATAATATATTTTTTCTGCCGGGCACTTGCCGTTTTAGCATTCGCCACTCAGAATGATTTAGTTCAGATTTTATCCGTATTTGTTTACGTTCACAAATTTGAAATCTTAAGTTCATTGATATTATGTATCATGGGAGAGGGATTAACTCTGAAATGCAGGTTAGAGCATTATGTTATAATATACAGTTAATATTTTCAGGTCAGCAAAACGAAATAACCAAAATAAAATAAGGCAGTTAAACTTTTCATTCATTGTTGTTGATATGTGCAGCTTGGCATAAACTTACACAAATAACTCGGCAAAAAAAATTGCATGTTCCTGAGTAATTACATCATTATCCTATAGATTTTTTAAATATATTTGAAAACAAATGAAGCAGCAGGTATTAGCAAATTAGAAGTCTAGATCAGATTTGTCTCAATAAGCTAAATTTCAGTTTTGGCACCCAATTTTGAAATAATTTTGGCTTGGAGCATTATGTAAATACCTGTGACAGACAATTTACATCCATGCCTTCTTCGGGGTTCGAACCCGGACCCTTCAGTATCCCAGTCCGTTCTCCTAACCACTATACTGTCTAGGCGGCCCTGTGTGATTATCATTATGCAAGAAGTCATATGACATGGTTTCATTTTGATATGGAAGCTGGAATAGCTAAAAACAATGGATGCTGTAAACAGTTTAGAGCAGTTTATTATAAGCATTTGCTATGTTTAGGACGGAAAGCAAAAATAAAATGAAGAGTAAAGGGATTGTTCAATTGTATGTGAAATAGTTGTGTCTGTAGACATGACTATTTTTATTTCATGATAAAGCAGTCTTGAGATGCATAATCTGGTTCACACATTGTCATTGGCCGATACCCAATCTTCATAACATTCTTTGAAATTTACACCATAGACAAGGGACAAAAGAGAGAGGTGAGAAAAGCAGGTTACTAAGAACAAAGTCATAGTAGAAAGAGAGTATTCATTCACCAAAGGTAGAGTGTTAGGTATGTTTCAAAAGCTTCGTAATTTGAATTGATAAGAACTGTCTGCATTACAGAATAACTTAAGAAAAAGCATGAAACAGATTAATTTTGAAGACTCAGTCCAGTAAAAGTTTTATGAAAACATGTTTACTTTTAGAACAGAAAAGGAAGGTTTTCAAATTAAAATGAAGAATTATGGGGTTTTTGCTAATTTGAAATTTTAATTTACTAATTTTTTATCTTATGCCTCCTCCCCCTTGTAAATTTATTTTCAATGATTGTAACACTAATCATAACTATTGCTGGATCATTCATAATAACACTCCTGTCATTAATACCATTCAAACCATTAACATCCAAAACATTAACTACTATGACTTTGAAAACTTATATACCACACTCATTCCTCTAGAAGAAATCTATACCAGTCTACTTGATCTACCTAAACTCTTCCCTAATATCTCAATATCATGACTCTTGACAAATGGAAAACCTACCTAAAATGCACACTTTTTCATAACTACATCAAGTTTCAAAATCAACTTTTTAAACAAGTCAGAGGATTGCCAATGGGCTTACATTCCAGCACCTCGATCTGTAATATCTTTTTATTTGTCAAAGAATTTAACTTCCAAAAAAATCTACAACCACAAGAGTTAAATTACTACAAACACACCTACAGATATATTGATGACCTTATTACAATTAATAATTTTGGTAAAATTGAAACACTCCGAGATTTATTCGAATTGTCTTACACTTAATAAAACTAATAATTCACAAAATAGCATAGACTTTCTAGATCTTCAAATCATTAACTACAAAAAAATTTTACTTTTTGACAAAACAAGAAACTTCAATTTCAATACTAACAAATTAATAAATTGGAACTCCAACATATCCAAAAAAGTAATTAACAATACTATAATTAATCAAATACAACGAATTAAAATTATATGCACAGATACAATAGATTTACAACGCGAAATTTTGACCTTATTAAAATTCTCAAAAATAATCTAATTCCCTTTCAATTTATCAACCATTGCCTTAAAAGAGCAGGCGTTAAATACTACTCTAAATCATTTAACTGATAGAGATATGATAATTTATTCCTAAACCTGAGAAGGCGGTATAAGTTGGATGACTGTCAGTTGAAGGATTTGTATATAGTGTAATTACTCAATTGTATATATTGTAAAAAGCTAATTGTCTTCAGACATATACTGTTACTAAAAAAATGGGCCTATTTCCTGCCTTTAGACTGTCTAATAGCTCTTGGACAGCGAAAATGCCTTTTTTCCTTTCTTAAATTCTTAATCATTGCGACACGACAATTAGCCAGAAATTAATTAATTTCCATTCACTAGTATTTTCAAAAAAAAAAAAAAAAAAAAATCTTAACAGACAGTCTCTCTCTCAATAAGAACTCCACAAAATACATCCCTCAAGAATTCCAAGTCCCACCCACTACCATAAATTACTTCACCCAAGTCTTACCGACTGATATTATTCAAAGCCCCCACTGCCGCTAAGAATTTTCGGACACCCTTACACTTCTGAGTCAGACACGAAGAGAACACTTTGCCAACTCCCCCACTAGAAAGAATGTAAGTTAATACCTTTTTCTGGCCTTTATATCTTCATGTACATTCACTGATCTTATTATATATTATTTTTTATATTATTTTTTTATTGTCTTTGATTTGTTTTTACAAAGTTTGCATTATTTATCTTTTTTTTGTAATCTTCTATGTTTATTTCAACTTTACTTTGAATTCGATTTCATAATGACAATTTCCAATGTTTAATTTCTACAAATAATAGTACTCAAATGCATAAAGATGATAGGTGTCGGGGACGGTTGCTCGGGTTATTTTGGATTTCTCTACAGAAATTGCTTTTTACTCCAAATTGAATTGACTAAAATGCTTCATAAGAATAAGTTCTTTGAGTATCAGCATTGGTTCATAATTCCTTCTATTCGCGGAAATATTTGGCTGACTAGAATTGTCGGTTTGGGTTTAACTTATAACTCGAGTGAGTAAAGACGAAACACCTTCGTATTTACGTATTTTTATCAATTATTGTTCATTGAACGGGAGTTGGTTTGTTCCCCTTGAAAAGTCAACTAATTTCTGATCAATGACAATGATTACATGTTTTTAATTTTTCCTTTTACAATTGAAATTTTATTCTTCGTGATGATTTAACTCCAGTCCCCGTTAAAACATTATTAACATTTTTGCAAATTTTCAAATTACTTCAAAATATAACTTAATTACCAGTATGGATTCACACTTTTAAAATATTTCTACTTTAATTAAACTTAGGAGATAATATAATCAATTAATCAATATTGTTTAGGAAATAAATTATATATATATATATAACAAGCAAAAACACAGTATTTGTGTTTGTCAGAGAATGGCAGCAATCTGATCTACACCAAAGATTAAAAGGTTACCAAACGTCTAAGCAGCAGTCAAGCAAAGTCAAGATATTTTGAAATGGTAGTGTTTGAGCTCTGAGCTGCTGCTGCATGGCATCCCAGAAGCTGCCCATGAGCTCTATTGCATAAGATCCGATGAGTTAGTTGGCAGGACATCCTTATGATCCTTGAACCACTCACTGCAACATAATTCGAGCCTTGTGACATGGGGCGTTGTCCTTGTGGAAGATTCCATTTCCAGTTGGAAAGACAGACAATGTAAAGATGCAACTGATGTGCATTTATGTTCAGATAGTCCGCAGCTTTCATTGTCTGTTCTACCACAACTAAGAGTTCCAGAGCTGCCCATGAGAATGTGCCCCAAATCATGATACCACCACTCTAGCCTGTGTATGACCTAGTGTACCAGGGAAGCAACTGTTCGCGTGAAAGATGGCATACCCAGACGCGATCATGGACATGATAAATCATGATTCATCAGACCAGGCAACTGTCTTTCACTTTCTCTTTGATGACATGTGGAAATCCAACACTTTGGTGTCTGCTGCTGGTTTCACCAACATTTATTCACTTTGCGTAAATACTAATAATGACAGATCGTGAACAACCTGCCAGTCATGCAGTTCCAAGTCTTCAAAGTGTTACAATCTACCCTCTATCAAATTCACTGAGATTAGCAGGCTATTGCATCACTCAGAATAGTAGTAAGTGCAAGAATGATTTCGAAGCAGTTAAATACCATTCCCACTTAATCACTTACCCTCCACATCATCCAGACGAGTTCATTGAAAAATGTGGGGATGGTCATAATGTTTTGGCTTGTTAGTGCTTGTATAATTCGAAGAATATCACATCATAGTACTGCAATTAAAAAATTTCATAATGACATGCACACTTTATGAAAGTGAGCTTATCTGTAAAATAATGCTTCATAATCATCATGCACTGTTATTTTACAGATAAGTTCACTTTCATAAAGAACTCTCCTTAACATGTACTGTTTCAAAATTTCACGTTTTCATTCATATTCTCATAAAACTTTGTCATTTGTCATAAAAAATTAGCTGTCTCTTACGCACAAAGAAGTCAGTGCCATTAGTTAATTTGGTTTAAATCTTAAAGCTGAGCATGGATTTTTAAGTTTCCTTTTAATTAAAAAATGCAAATTTTTATAATAATTAGCAAAAACACCATTCATTCGATAACTATGCACAAAACAAATATTTCACGTTTGTTTAATAATTGCTGGTAATACAGAAAATACTCTGTTGGCCATCCAATATGTAAAACAATGAAGTAAGAATTCAGTAGGCTTGAAATTACTACCATGCAGAGACGTGTCGATTAAGACATGCAAATGCACTACAGAGCCAATGTAAATCATGCATGCCAGTAATGCTGTTTGGAAATAATTAAAAGAAGAGAGTACTAGGCTGTTTTACATACTAGAATTGTGTGTTTTCCTGGTAACCCTTTGCTTGGGAACTTCAGTGTGCATTGTGGGAAAAAAATGGCAATCATTTGAAACAATTTCTTAGGAAGAATTATGGCTTATACAGATGATCCTTTTGAGAAATTGGTGTTCTCGTGGAGATGAAACCAATATTCAGTGATGCGAATATGGAATTGATGGTTTCAGGAGGGAGAAGCCAATCAACAGAAACAATTGCACAAGTCTCGTTACATCACCAAACAAGAAAATGGACATGTTATGTACACTGTGAGGGGGGAGTTCTGTATTTCTCATTCTACTGGGCCGATTGACGAATTTCAAATTGCGTGTTTCATGTATCGAAAGCGTGACTTGGTATATATATATATAGCATTGTTCTAACATAATTGTTTTGACACAAAATTTGACTTTCTCAAATAACATAGCAACTTTTTTCCATATTTCAATTCTACGACTCAAATTATGCCTAGATATTAAATTTTAATTTTTTGTGAGAAATTTAAACATTTATCTTGGCGAATGTTTTCCAGTTTGTGCCAAGAATAATTCACTTAGCAAGTTCCTTATATATGGCAACCTGTTTTCCTTTCCATTGTGCAGGAACGGGAAAAAAAGTGACATCGTCCCTACCTTTTTACATTGTGCATAAGCAGAAAGGAAGTCGCATATTTCTACTTTCAAATAATATAAACAAAGTGCCTAAATCACATTTGATGTTGTTATCACTTTCAGCAAATACACCAAATTTCAAAATGTGCCAATGTATAAATTCATGTATATTTTCAAGAATTTTGAATATAAAATTTTTTGCAGGTATGCTTAAAAATACATCTACTTTAAGATAACAGTAAAGATTTTATAGATTATAATTCAAAATTTTTTTCAAAAAATTTATAAAATTATTTTAAACTACAGATTTTTAAAATAAATCATAAAAAAATGGGTGAATGATATTTGGAATGAACCTAAATTTTGAAATGTGAAAGGAAGAATTAAATAAGTTTAATTAAAAAAAAGAGAGATTAATAAATATATACCAAATTCAATTAACATTGAGGAGCTAATTTTTTAAAAACTACTTGTGCGATTTGTACAAAACTTGCCAGTTTTGAGTAATTTGAGTCGAAGAATTAAAATATGGGAAAAAAATTGGCATGTAATTTTAAAAAAGTTTAATTTTGTGTCAAAATACCCATATTAGAACAATGCTTATAATTAAATCTAATATGCATATCCGAAGTTTCGCTTGGGAGGCATGAAAAGCGCAAATTGAATATTGTCAATTGGCCCACAGTAGATATGGAATTGTCCCTCCCTCTCCTTTTTTTTCGCAGTTTGCATAGCAGTGATGAATACCCCAGCAATGTCAAAAACTCAAGTGCAAGAATTGGGGTTCTTATAATCTGCCTGTAAGATAAATCCTAGTCTGGTGGCATTATTGTTACAAATATCATAGTTGAATCCTAGTATGGTGGCAATTACTGTTACAAATCCTTGCTATGTACTGCCATTCTGTTCCATCCAGAATTATGGTTTAGAGTACTATTATGATTTACTCTGGCACCTGTCTAATATGCATTCCTTAACTGAACAGCCACTGCTATAAGTTTTGGAGTCTTGTTATCCTCCTTCTTCAAGATGTAGGTTACCTGTCGCTAAACTCTTTTAACATTAAGAAAACTGCTGAGTGAGTATGAAAAGCATAGTTGATAATTGCAGAAGCAGTAAAAATAATCAAGAAGGTAAATCTTTAATAAAAAGTACTAAATTTCTGCCATATTATTTTTCATACATTTATCTTGAATACACATTTCTCTAAACCTGTTGTGGCATGAAACACTGTGTTTGTCTCAAATAATATACAGAGCCTTTTAAAGCAATTATTTTATTAAATTTATTAAGTTTTTGACTGCTTTTTGATTTCATATGTAATTTCTTTTTAGGGAGGTTTGGTGGATTATCCTGATGAAGATTCTGAAGAGGAAGAGGAGGAGGAAGAAGACACAAACAACATACCTCCAACAAAACGCCCAAGAGTGTCATCATAGCATATTTTTAAAATTTCATTCATAGATACTGCTTACAGTTGTACAGAATGGTTCTCTGTTTTTAATCACAATATTGATTCACAGCAACTAATTCCAACATTATTTGCTGTCCCTCTCATCACTGTCAACTGCCATCTTGTGCCTGTCAGTCCTCTGACGTTTCCCACTGGCCAATCAGAGAGGTCATCTAACATAAGCATCTTCATTGTGACCATTCTTTTGGAAAGCAAAGAAAAATAATTTTTCCCCTGTATCATTTTTGTGCTATAATGGCTAAAGAAAAGAAAGGTCAAAGAATGTTCGAATTGTTCCTAAATTCTCGAAACTGTGAAAGTGTTATGTTACTGGTATTTTGAGACAGTTTACAAAAACATCAGGGAAGAAAAAAGGACAATGCCTAGCCTGTGAGACAAAGGAAGAATTGTTGTTTCTTTTTTGAATGAACTTAAATAAGGTTCAGATGTTGTACATTAAGCATCATTCAGTTGTAGTGAACTTTATTTAATGCTAAAAATTCAGCAAAGAGCCAGTGTTATGTATTTAATGACTTCCACTTTAGTTTTCAGTTGTGTATATGACATGACAGTGCAATGATGGAAAGTTGTGTAAATTCATTTCATTGCTTAATAAAGAAAAACAAGAAAGGAATAGGTATTGTACAATCATTATCCTTCAAAAAATTTCTGTATTAATTTTACTGTTCCAGCTTGAAGATAAAACAGAAAACTACCTCCTTAAAAAGCTCATTGTAATAATAAAATTCCCTTAACCTTCAGAATATTTTTATACACATTTCCCAAACCCCGGAACATGTCACCAAAGCAACATTATATCATTTTATGGAAGCTTGTGTACACACAAATATGGTTTTATTTTCTGGAGAAGCTAATTTGTTCATTTTGAGCTTTTCTATGTTCACAGTGTTACTGTCTTCAGCTGTGTCAAGCTGTTTTATTTTTCTCATTGTATGAGATTGTACAGTGCTTCATCAGCAGTCAAGAACATCTGTAAATTAACAGCAGCAGTATTCATAGTTGGTACACCTTTAGCGTTTGTCATCTAATATTGGGTAATATGTGTATATAGACGTATGTTTTTAATATCAAATCGCGATGGTCCTTAGACTTTTGTGTCAAGTGCCATGCATCTAAAAATGCATGTTGTATAAATGTTTCTTCTTCCATTGTCTTGTTTAATCATATATATATATATATGTGTGTGTGTATGTATGTGTATTTAAACATGCATATATTTACACACACAGATAAATATATATATGAAATAACACTCTATATGTAATTAGTCTTTCTGAATTTTCAGTATGCAGAAAATTCAAGAAATGTTGTTACATGATCTGGGAGATAAATTAAATTACTGTTTTGGATTATATTAAAAATGACAATCATTCTAATAATTTTAATTGGAATTGCAGCAAAATTTTGTGGCTGAAAATATTTTGAATGTTTATATTTTTGTTTGTAAATTACTTGCACAGACGATGACAAAATTAAGCTTGTAGTCTTACAAATTGTTAAAATTAAATTTTGAAAATATAAAATAAACTAAATTTTCAGTAATAAAATTAATTCCATGAAGTAGGGTAGTAATAAATAAATTCCATGTTTTTCTGTTTTCTTCAAAGCAGAAACTATGTTTGTATTACATTGCTTATTGCAAATTCTACAGAATGAGTATAGATGTGAAAGAAATATATCTAATTGATGTTTCTTGAATGCAAATATAATTTTTAAATACCAAAACATTGTTTCATTTAATAATGCAATGCAGACAAACATAAGCTTTTTATACTAGACTCATCACTGAGTTATGGAATGAGTATGTCCTATACAGTCACATTATTTAGTGAGCTTACTTCTCTGTTTTGTATCAAGTGAAATTAATAGTGATGAATTAATTAATTTGCCTGTTTTTATATAGCTTAAAATTATTTAAATTTATATATTTGAAAAGTACACATTTAAAACATTTAAATCTGTTCTTATTGCTTATACTGAAGCTTGATGCTTCATTTTCATAGTTTACATTTTGAATATTTTGTAAAAGTGCAAGCACATTTAAAATTTGTTGAAATTTACTACTATAGTTTACTTGTAACTGACCCAAAGCTTTAAAAAAAATCAATTTGAAATCTTAATATTTCAATTATTGACAGTGTGAATATTGTATAAAATCTATTTAATTTATTACCTTTGTTTTAAAATTTGTTATTGAAATATTCATGCAAAGTATGTTGTAGATATATATTCAGTGATAAATTATCTGTAAAATATTGCAAAATAAGAAAAGAACATGGAGACAAAATAAAAAGATGGAGTGCTTCGAAAGAGTTCAATAATCATACTGAATGCACACACAAATAAATGGTATATAACCAGATGGTGTTAAATGAAAAATTTGTTAGAATCTGAAAATACTTCTTTATTACTCTTAATAATGAATGCATACATAAAAAATTAATTTGTGACTTAAATAATAGCTTGTTTTACTGCAGTATAATCGAAATGCAAGATTTAAAAAAAAAAAAAAAAAATTGATTTGAATAATTTGAGGAAAAGTTTTTTGATCAATTCTCTATTTTAAATTTATTTTGCTTTTAAATCTGTTAACAAATAATGGCATTGGGGTTAATTCCTATAAATTACTGCTGAATTAATTTTTGATCCAAGATAATGACTTTAAAGAAAAAGCGAAAACTTGATTATTTTTCTCTTTTAATTCAGAACATAATAAAATGTGAACATATTTCTGTTTTTATTCAAAATATCTGTTTAACATTTCAACATTCAATTAATACTAAGTATTTTTGTTGTGCAGAAAAGTATTCTAGACCTTCATGGCGTAAATATTCAGCTTCTCCCCTCTTGCGTCCTTTCTATTTAAAAAACAAGTGGTTACAGACAACTAAATGTATACATTTCTCTACTTGCTTTTTTATGCATTTCATAAGAAAATAATTTGCTTATTTTTGCTGGAAAATTAAACTTCACAGCCATGTAACATGCTGAAAGAAAAAAAACTTATTTTCGTATACGTCCACAACTGTCATGTAGAGTGTGCTTCAATTTTAGAGCAATGGGAAATTTGTTTCCTCCTGGATTTCTTAACACTGGGCAGTATGTTCTGGTATGAGCTTCACTGCCTGTTTTGCCACATACATCACAAACATATTCTCTCAGTACAGGGCATTCAACATTACCAAATTTATCTTTAAGTTGATGGCTCTCATAAAACTGTTTGCGCTCTCCATTCTGGCGGCAGAATTTGCAGATCTTCTTGGCAGCTGATGATGTATGACGACTGAAAGAATAGTGCTGGTTGTTTCCATGCTCTGCTGTTGTAGACTCATTGTCTTTTGAAACTGATAAAGTAATTTCTTCAGATGATGATTTATCTATAAATAATAAAATAAGACATATATATATATATATATATATATAGCAATTCAATGTGGCAATGGATTTAAAATTCAGACTAAACTTGATACACTCATTAAATGCTCACAAGTGTGTTCATTCATTAATTGTTAATTAATAAAATAGAAAAAATTAGCAATGCAGCTCTATTTTTCAACTTTTAAAAATTTCAAATTGCTTTTTTCAGAGCACTGAAATAAATGATCAGTTTAATTACATTTTTGTTCCTAATGCTTGTAATAAAAATATTAAATGAAACAGCTGGATGCATGTTTGTTAGATGTTGCCGATGCTGATGAAAATTATTTCGATGTATGACGAATGAGTACTAATTAATATCAATTATGAGTTCGGCTAGAGAAAATAATAAGTGGCACAAAACCATGGTTTTGATTCAGTAATAGAAGATAAGTTAACTGTGTCCTTTGCATTTAGTAATATATTTACTTTCATAATAATTATAATAATAGTGTATGAAAAAACAGTACTGTAGGTGAACCAACTAAACTCTCTTAAAGTTATATTCCTAGGATATATAAGCTGCAAATGTATTTACAAAAACCTTCTAGCCCCCCCCCCAAATGAACAGATGTAGATACTTCAGTACATGTTTTAGAGCTGCAATCTGGCAAAAAGTTTCTTGGATTATCTCAGGCTGTACCTGCAGGGCAACAGAAAATGTGATACATCTTCAACTCACTGTTATTGAAAATAAATAGCTCAGATTTCCTGAAGTCAGAGATATTTTAAATTTTAATATTTTGCTGAAGTCATTAGAGATGCAGGTACAAACAGTGGTCTGAAACAGCGGTTGCCATACAGTCCATACAGGTAGGTAGCGGGTCCCTGGCTCTCTCCGTATGAAAGTACGGCGAGAATCAGTGTTTAGGCTAAAATGGGACTCGGTGAACAGAACGGTTGCCTACTGCTCCGTACTCTAACCACAGTGCTGCCTGCACAGGCTTTGCAGCGTGGTATTATACTTTATCAGTGTGCCTGTGGCAATTAGCCCCACTCATTCAGCAACGCTGTTTTCAGTTCCTGGATGGTTCTCGGAGGGGGGTTGCAAGTTTCAGTTGCCCTCCCCAGAGCGTCCCAGGCATGCTTTATAGGGTTGAGCTCTGGAGACCAGGCTGGCCAATTCATCCAGTGAATATCCTCACTCTCGAGAAATTTGTCGACCAGAAGAGCTCTGTGGCCTCACATTATCATCCTGTATCACCAAGAGGAATTCGGAGCTCACTGCACTGCACCCCGGGAAACCCAGGCGAACATAGGGCTCCAAAGACCTTCATCCCTATACCTCACACCAGTCACAGAGCCTCTGTCAAAGACGTGGAGAGGTGTGCGGCCATCCAACATGAAGCCTGCCCAGACCATTAACACCGCCATAATTGTTGACTTTGTGGACACTGGAGTGTAGGTAGTGGGTCCCTGGCTCTCTCCATATGAAAGTATGGCAAGAATCGGTGTTTAGGCTAAAACAGGATTCGGTGAACAGAACAGTTGCCCATTGCTCCATACTCTAATCACTATGCTACCTGCACCATGCTAATCAGACTCTCCTGTCCGTAGACGTGAGCGGTATGCAAAGAGCTGGTCTTCTGGCAAAACAACCCTCACCCTTGTTACACGGGTTCCTGTGGCTGCGTACAGATCTCGAGAGAGCTGAGAAGCTGTAGCCCTTCAGTTTATACCTCGCTAAAATGGACAAATAGCGATCTTTCCTGGCTGTCGTTGCTCTTAGACGACCTTGCCCAGGCTTTCTCTCGATGGATCCTGTATCATGGAATTGTTTCCATATGTTACACACGATGCTGGGCATTAAATTAAACACTCTGCATATCTGGGACTTGCGATTGGCCTGCCTCTAGCCTCCCCACAATTCACCACCTCATTCCATCATCTAAATGTTGATGGTTCCTCATTTTTACTGTTCCAATGTGAATTTAACCGATTGCTGCGAGATAAACACCAAGAAATTCACCGAGGTGTGCTAACAAACTCAATTCGTCTTACTCCCCACGTGCTTATAAAGCCTGTTTTCCTACACACATGTGTGTGTACGCTTACATATTTGCCGTACAAGATTTGCATTTTTATCTAGAAGCAGTGTTTTTTCCTTCAGTTCAGTTCTTATGCAATTCGATAAATTATGCAAAATTTCTTAATTTATTTCAGTAGTGTATAATAGATCATCTGTGTACGGAGGGATCTGAAAAGTTCTACAGTCCTGGCTTGAAATTCTGGTTGTCATTTACAAAAATAACTACAACTCATCCATAGAAGAAAATTTTGTAAACAGTCTAGAGAAAGCGAAATATTTGTTAGTAATGGTGTCAAAAGAACAAAAATTCTTAATTATACATTCAACAGAATAAATTAGGGTAAGGTTTTTGAGGTAGATGATAATTTCTCTGAAATAAATGAAGAAGAGATATCTGAATGGAAATGACACAATCTGTTGGAAATTTATCACATGCATCAAAACAGAAGAAATACATGTGCTCAGCCACTATAGCTGTGAGGCAATTGTGTGAGTATAATAAAAAGTTATGAACTATAGATTTTTTTTTTTAAGAGAAGATGCTTAAGACTTGATAATACTCAAAAAGAGGTTGAAGTATACCTGTTGGAAGAATATTTCCTATTAATGAATTTTAACATAAATTACATGTTTACAAGATTAAAAATATATGACATTACCATTAAGTGCTGTTCTGATGTGGAGTTGACAAACCTTTCAATAAACCATCCTTCAATGTGCATAAAATATTTCTTTTACTAAGATATGTTTTAAAATTTAATGCCATATAAACAAAAGAATAATTTTTTTTAACAATTTTATTTTTACATGAAAGCCTGGCCTTAATCTACTTTTCATACCAATTTTAAGGCATTGTACTATAGTGCAACCAGCTTCTGAATTTTATTTTCTCAGAATTCTGCTTCCTGATTTGGTAAGCATTTTTGATACCTAGTGTGACCATAACTTAAGCTTTTTGTTGCAATTTCATACGGAATAGCTTTTGAAATTTGAGGAAACATTACAGATAATGATAAAATTGGGTGAAGCATGAAGATGAGAGACAAAATAGGAACCGTTTGTCATTAATCGTGAACTGATGCAGAAAGCTAATGAAAAAAATTCGAGAAAACAGACACTTTATGATTTTATTTTCAGAAATTGAGTTCTTGATCGATACCAAAAACGGCTATCAAAATCAGGCACAAGATTTCTATGAAGATGGAATTCAGGTGCTTGGGTCATATGATGTGGCATGTGCCTTAATGCATGTTGAAAAGGCGGAATTTTCATGTAAAAATAAAATTGTTATAAAACGTCCTTGTGCCTATGTAATATCAATATGGCAAGCACTTAAAAAATATGTCTCATTTATCATTACTAATCCTTATCTAATTTGCAATCCTGATGTCCCATTTTTGTCTTTGTGGAAATATAATCAGCTTATATGGATATCTTCTTTTCATTGTTGAGATCACTGACTGCATGTGGAAGGAGAAATAAACAGTTTTCTCAAATCGATTACAGCATGGATGTCAACAGGGTGGGTGCACTTTTGCACCCCCTAAAAGAATACTTTTCGTTTTTCTATTTTTAAATATTATCCAATAGAAACGACCAAAAAATCATTTTTTGAAGGGGAGTAAAAGTACAATGTTTGTCTGTTTGTTTGTTTGTTTATTTGCTTTATCACTCAGGTAATTCATTTGGAAATAGTGTTTCCTCGCCACTTTGCACTTCATGTTTTGCGGCTTCAGTGCTTCGCGGGTTTTTCCAAAATATTCATCAAAAAATAAAAATGAAAAATACAACCAAACAACAAAAAGATGAGTTGACTCAAGAGTACATACCACAGGCTCTCATAAAGGCGCGATTGGTTTCCCGTGCAACATCGACCAATGAAAATACAAGTGGATTTATCCCTGTGGTTGATTGTCTGCGCATCATCGCAGCCTCACCTAGCATATTCTCTTGTTGTATCTCGCCAGTTTTATCCATGATGTTGATTGTTTCGCATACTGTATTTTAGTGTTGTGTTGGCAACACAACCCGCGAAGCACTGAAGCCGCAAAACATGAAGCGCGAAGTGGCGAGGAAACACTATTTCCAAATGTGCCCGAGTGATAAAGCAAATAAACAAACATAAGATATTTTGTATTTTTACTTCCCTTGGAAAAATGCTTTTTTGGTCGTTTCTATTGGATAATATTTAAAAATAGAAAAAACAAAAAGTATTATTTTAGGGAGTGCAAGTGCACCCACCCTGTTGATATCCATGCTGTAATCGATTGAGAAAACTGTTTATTTCTCCTTCCACATGCAGTCTGTGATCTCAACCGTGAAAAGAAGATATCCATATAAGCTGATTATATTTCCACAAAGAACAAAAACGGGACATCAGGATCGCAAATTAGATAAGGATTAGTAATGATAAATGAGAGATATTTTTTTTTATTAAGTAAGCCCTTATAATGCCGCCTAAGTGCTGTGCCCCTGCGAAAGCTTCTTCCGGGGCACCCAAAAGGAAGATGACGACCATTAGCAAAGAAGTGAAACTTTTAGATATGATCAGAGAGGGAAGTTATGCATCTGTGGCACGCGATTATGGAGTGACTGAATCTACAGTGCGGTACATCAAGAAAGAGGAAGCAAACATTCGCAAAACTGCTTCAATAAAGAAGCGAAACATGTGGTGACTCAGCGTAATAACAGAACTGTGAAAATGGAAGCTGCACTGGCATAGTGGATTGCTGATTGCAAGAAAAAGACAGTGTGTTTGGACACTAATATGGTCAGAACAAAGGCCAAAGCTCTCTACGACCAAATCTTACCCAGTGACGAGAATGAAGAGGCTGTAGAAAAAGAGATAGAGGGCACTGCGCTGCCCGTATGTGTAGCTAATTAAAAGTTTTTACCAGAGAGAGGTAGGAACTAGGTATCTTGTAATCTGTATATAATACTTGTACTAGTCTTTGATTCATAAATAGCTTTAGTTAAAGGAAACTTTTTATTTGATATCATAGCATATCAAGATCTTAAGACACAATAACACGCCAAATAAGTACTAATTCAGAAGTCAAACAACAAAAATCAGCGTTATATTTACAAGATTTTCACTGGATTAGTTTCAATGGTTTTACCGAACCACCATCCTCAGCTGCAAAACCACAAATGAACA